ACCAGCCGACACCATTTATCTTACCTTAACTCCGATTGCTGAACAGCCATGGGCTCCCAAATTCATCAGAATTATTCCACCGAGGTGGGGGCGGCCGTCAACTGCCCGGCCCACCCGCGTCTGCGGGCCGCCTGCACCCACCTCTCCGGGGGCTTCCATCTCCCCCGGGACAAGGGGCTCGGGAGGGCGTGGCCACTTCTTCCGCGAGTTGAAGAAGCGAGAGGGTGTGGGCGCCAGCCAAGCGTCCACGTCCACTTCAGGCTGCCTGGGGGCGACACTCCCAACCACCAGCTGTCCCCCGCAGAGCTGAGGATATCGGCGCTCTTCTCCATTCCTTCCCCCGGCCTGGTCCTCCCGTCCAGGTAGGGCCGAGCTGGCCTCTGCTGCTTCCGGCTCAGGAGCCCTCGCTGATGTGGTTGGAGGTGGGCAGTGTCCAACCTTGCAGCTTCACGGTGTGAACAGCTGCTGGGAGAAGCCACCCGGCTTGTTCAGCTGGGGCCGCGTGGCTTGCTCACCAAGAGGATTGCCCAGGAATTCTGGCCATTGCTGTGGATGCAGTGACAAGTTCACTGTCATCGTCAAGATGTTTTGGGGGCCGAGGGACAAGGCCTTCATGAAGAAGACAGGGCGGTCCCGAACGGATCATGTTCCCAGATGCGTGAAGGTGCGGCCCCTGAGCGGGCACTGACCTCGGTCCACCTGGGTCTCCACCTCGCTGGTGAGGCGAGGGAGGGGCTGCAGCTCGTTGAAACAGGAGTGGTGAGTTAAGAAAGCGGTGGGGGTCCCAAAACTCCTGCAGACTCCCCCACCTGGGGAGCTTTGATAAGGTGGGGGAATGATACTAAAGCAGAGCAGGTCACCTTGGGCTCAGGGACCACCCCCACCCCAAATCCTCCTGTGCCTTTTAGTTCTATAGCCGAGACCAGTGCTGTTCCACAGATTGGCACCTCTCCTGCTTTCGGCGGGACTGAGAGAGGCAAGATCTCTGGGGTCCTAGGCAAGTCCTTAAAAACGCTGCGGGGCCTTCTGCGCAAGGTGGGGGCAGTGTTGTCTATTGCTAGCAGCCCCGGGAGGGGAGACGGGACGGGGGTGAGCAGCATGTGCAGCAGGCTCTGGGCAAGAGACAGACAGCTCCTGGGCTTTGCTGGGGTTTGCCCTTTCCCGAGAAGGCTCCCCAGGCCTCTTCTGCCTGCGAGTACTGGGCTGCGAAGCTTAGCTCTCCATGTCCCAACTTGCACCTGGACAAGGGGCTTACCATCTGGCAACTTCTGTTTTCCCAGCTATGAAGTGGGTTCGCTAACACGGTGGCACTAGGCACTGGGAGTAAGTGATCACGTATCTCCTTGGACTGCTTCTGCCTCTTCCCCTACTTCCCCACTCCCGCCCATAGTGAGCTCTCTGTAGAACAGGGTGGTGTCCATATTTTTCCCGCCTGTACCCCCAGCACCCAGTCCAGCTTGGATCATAGGTAGGTCCTGCATGACTGTTTGCTGGATGAATGGACATGAACCTTAACTTCCTGGCAGGCTGGCTTCCTGGGCCAGCTCCTGGTTGGGACACCTGCCAGCTGCCAGGCCCATCTGGCACCATCTGTAATGGTGACAAAGCCATCGGGCCACACAGCAGGCTCCATGCGGCCCCTCACTGCCCCAGGCAGGGTGATATGCTCCCTTCCCTGGACAGTGTCCCTGGTGGGTCATAAGCAGGTCGGGGAGAGTCAATGGGGCCAGTCCCTGTGGGGAAGGGAGCCTGATGTCTGGTACAGGTGCCCAGACCAGGCAAATGTCAAGAGGACAGGGCATCATCATGTCCCTGTTCCCCATTTCTCTTCATCCCCCACCTCCTCTTGCAGCCCCTCTCCAGCAGTTCCCCTTGATCTATTTGTACCCAAATGACTTCTAGCCCTCCCCATCGAATGGGACATCCAGAACAGACCCTCCCCCATGGCAGCAAAGCTAATGGAAGTCGACAGACCATCAGAGTCAGAGACCCAGGGCCTAATCCCTGTGCTGGCGCTGTCCAGCTGTGTGGTCTCGGGCAAGGGAATCCACCTCTCCGAACCTCCATGTCCTCCACTACCATCTGAGGCAGGACGCCCCCTCTCCTGTCCTCGGTGACACACGTGTTCTAATTAACCCCTTTCGCCACCCCCACACCTTTGGTCCGGCTGTGCCCTCTGCCTGGAAGGGTTCCCTTCCACCTCCCAAGTGGAGACCCTCCTTCCAGGTGAACACGGAACACGTCCTCTTGGGCCCCTTTCTGAAACCCTAAACAAACGGGAACCCCCTTCTTTGACCGCCACGTAGTACCTGTCCCATCACCACGAAGATGCTTTTAAGGTGGGACCCGATGCCCGTGGCTCAGACCAGTGAGGCTCGGAGAGGTGGCCAAGCTCTGGCGGCTGTGAGTGCCAGGCTGGGCTTGGTTCCCGCGTCAGTCTGACTCTACAGCTCCCGGGCACAAATCAGGCTGTTGTTACTGGAATGATTTTACTGATGAGGAAAGATGGTTCAGGGAGCAAGAAATATGCCCGCCCAGCTGCCCTGAGCCAATCTTTGACGCTAGGCTCAGGGTCTCATCCCGCCCACCTGAATGTTGGCCTGTGCTCTCACCCCCGTGCTCCTCGGGGTGTGGTCTAGAGCGTGGTGCTGTCAGGTAGGTGGGTCCCAGGCCCACCTGCACCTGCTGAGTCAGGGTCTCCCTGGTGACTGAATGCTTGGGCAGCTCTGACTTGGGGTCAGAGATGCGGGGCCCATCCTCAGCGAGGCTTCTGTTGTCACTGATGGATTCTTGCAGCCTGGCTCTCCTGGGGGTGGGGCTGTAAACTGGCGTAGACCCCACCCCGGTGCACCCCCGTCTTTGAGTCTCCCTGTGGCTCAGAAACCCCGCTGCCCAGGGTTGAGGAACCATGAAGGGAATGCAGCTGCTGGTCCTGTGGGGAGACGCTGCGCCATGTGTGCACTGGGGGCTCAGGCAAAGGAGCCAAAGCCCTGGGGCTGAGGGTGAAGGTCCTGGGGGGTCCTGCTAACCCAGCGGATACCTCCTAGCAAGGAGTCTGCAAGCAAAAGAAACTCCGGAGATGATGTCAGTTAGGTCCCTGGAATAATGGTTGTAACAGCCGTGAGTCGCTGTCCCAGAGGCCCAGGCCCAGACCCAGGCTGGAGTTTCTCAGGCAACAATGCATGGTGGGCGCTGCTATTGCTCTTTTATGGAAGAGAAACTGCAGCCCAGAGAGCAAGAGGCCTGGACCTCAGCCTCATGGAGAGTGAGCGGAGGGGCTGAGCCCCACGTCCAGTTCTGGATGCTGCAAACACATTGCTGTCCAGTGCCCCCTGCTAGATCCGCGAGGACCCAGAGCGGACTGCGGAGTCTGCCGCATCGTTAGCGGTCGTGATGGGGAGGAGGAAGTATTTCATGCTGTGCTCTGAAGGCTGGAGAGAGCCCTGGATTCCATCTGGGTCTTGCAGCCTCTTCTACATCACAGCCCAGTACGAGTGTGTGTGGGGTGTGGTCATTGGGGGTGCATCGGTTCCACAGCACATGGATGGCCTTTTCTCCAGGTTGCTTTTTATCGCCCTGCTAGGGCTGTTGGTTTCGGCAGAAGCTACTCTGGAAGCTTGGCTAGAGTCAGATCAACAGGTGGTGGCCATTTTCTTAAAGTGAAAAGAGAGGGAATGTGGAAAGAGGACTAATTACCCAAGTGCTGCCTCGGGGCCAGGCATTGCTCTCTCAGGGGACACAGGCACAGAGGCCAACCCCGTGCACCCCAAAGCCAGGAAGTGAGGGGCTGGGTTTTCACGTGGGACTCCAGTCCACAGCCCTTGCTCCGCTTCCTGGAAAAGCGAACTGAACACACGACTTGCTGAAGTTCTCCAGCCACTCTTACCAGTTTAAGAAGTTCCAGGAAATCAGTCTGAGGCCTGCGGGAGTCCTGGATCAACAGCAAGCGGACTCAGATCTGCGTGGCGGCCGCCATCCACACCTCCAGGCAGCAGGGCATAGCAGGCCCACGGCTCTGGCGCCGCCGGACAGAGCAGTGTCCCGGGAACTGACCTCCTTCTCCCTGAACTTTCTAAGGCCCTTGCCAGTCCTGCCGGTGTACTGAAATGGTCTTCATTTTGATGGTAAGTTATTTTTCCTAGTTACAAACTTCCTCTTTGCAGTGACAACTTGTAATTACAAGCCCAAATGTCACAAAATGAGGCTTTGGGTTTCTAGGTGGGCGCATCTCACACTGGAGATCACGGATGTATTTTGGGGACTTGGGGGTACAGATGCTCCACGTGGAAAGCCAGCCGTGCACGAATTCCTCTCTGGTGCCTGGGCTTGGTTCCAACCATTGGAAAAGGGCCCGTCAGACTTTCAACAATTCCTTCCCGAACCCCTGGATTTCGACAGGCCCGTGTCCTGCTCTGACCCTGGGAGTCCTCTGCCCAGGGGAGGCAGCGGGAACTCAGGAGGAGGGGAGAGCCCACAAGGTGGAGCTGGGAAAGCAGGCGGGTTGAGGTGGGCTTCTGCTGAGAAAGCCGGGTTTCTCAAACAGGAGACGAGGCTGTGTGTCCTGCGAGTCCGATCCTCACTAAGGGAGAAGGGACGAGTGTGTCCAGACAAGATGCAGAATTTTACTTCATACACTGCTGAATTGTCTGGGTTCTCCTCAACACGCATCTGTCACGTCTACACACTCCTGCGAGGAACATGCACTGCAGGGGGAGGGCCGCCTCTGGGAAGCGGGTGAGGGGGCGGGAGCACGGATGGGACAGTCACTGCGTAAACCAAAGTCGAAGCACACCCCGCTGCTTGGGTTCTGGCCAGTGAGGCTCGGAGGGCTGTTACCTCGGCCTCCACACCTTTCTGCCGTGGGAGCCTCTGCACTTAGGTCCCAGCTGCCCTGTCTGGAGCCATCCAGGCATGTGGCTGGAAAATGCTTGTTCAGATAAAAAGCAGAGAACACAGCCATCATGTGTTGAAGTACAAATTTAATAAAGCCTTTGATCACGCTTTAATCCACAGTTATCTGTGAAAACAAAAAACCCCACACATTCTTACTGTATTATTTATTTAAAAACCTACAACGTTTTAGAGCCATCAAGAGCATCGAGGTGTCACTGAACACCAGCTGTAAAAGCACACGCTTAGTGCTTCAGATGGTGCAGTATTTCCAGCTGCTGAAGAGTGAATGAAATGACAACGGCCCCTCCTCGTCGGCAGAAGCCCAGCTGATGCTTAGAAACCACTCTCCCCCATTCCCATGCAGGACAGTTCTCGGGTGGTCAGTCAGGATGGGATCGCGTTTCTCTGTGCAGGCTGGCGACTGTGTAGCCCAGCACAAATGTGCAAACCTGCTCAGTGTACACACACACACGCAAAAGAGATCTTCAAGGGAACTGAGCATTTAAAGTGGCAAACCCACAGAATCAGAGGTTACTACCGAATCGTAAATAGTAAATTCCTGCCTGTCTTTAAACTCCTTGTCTTTGCATCCAGGTAAAACACATGCCGTTCTGCAGCAGCAGGGCGGACACAGCCAGGCTAACACGGACAGGACACCGGCCCCCAGCAGAGACTCTCTGACCGAAGCCACGGAGACAGGTCTTGCTCACGGAGCTGCCAACGTGAATGTTCTTGCTGGAAGGTGCTTTGCTGCTTGGATGGGAGCTACAAGCCGCTGCACAGAGCAGAGGGGACCAGGCACTCCTGGCTTCCAGTGTGGCTTCTGTCTGTGGTAGGGAGACTGAAGGGGTGCGAGGAGTTGGGCGAGGGTAGATGGTTGTCAACACAGACCACTAGTGTGGCCTTTGCCTCAATTCCCTGGATCTAGAGTTAGTTCTCATGATGGAGGTGAAGAATGAGGACAGAGGAGCACAGTGGGTTGAAAGAGAGAACAGAGTAAAAAAACAACGAAGAAAACCAACCCCGAGGGCCGTGATTTCCTGAGCCTCGTGAGCTGAGTCAGTGCAAAGGTCTCCTGGGTTCCCTGTGCTAGGAAGGGGGGTGCAAGATCCAAGTTTCTTGGGATTTTACACTCTATGCATAAAGCCACGCCTACACGGGACAGGGCTGGGCTAGTGCTTGCTTCCTCCCAGATAACAGGCACGCAAACAAGCAGGAGAAAGGCAGCTGCTCCTTGGGAATCAGCAGGCTTCGGGGAACGGCCAGTGCCTTCTACAAACGGAGCTGCTCTTAGGGCCGACGGGTTTTTTCTGGCAAACCCAGGATGCCAATGTGAACGCACATTTGGGGACCATCCAGGAGGCTCCCTGCCAGAGGGGACTGCTGAGGACTCAGAGCATCTGATGTGACAGTAGGGCAGGAGAGCTGCCCCATGGTTTCCTGGGCTCGCGACCTCCTGAGCAGGAGCCTGTTCCCCTGGGGAGCAGGTGGATGTGGGTGGCTCTCTGGAGAGGCTGCTGTGGACGGGATGGAGGCAGAGACTTGGTTGGGTGCATAGAGGCTTGGCAAGGCCTTACCTGAGTAGAGTTTTCAGAAAGGGAAGGAGAGTGTCGCACGCGCACTAGGCTTTGCACACACAGGCCCACGCCAGGGAACCACTCAGGAGCCGTGCAGAGCCTGGGCCTCGTCCGTGCACAGCTCACTCAGAAAGGGAAGGAAATACAGACTCACAGAGACCAAACTGTCAGAAGAGAAGCCCCGCTGCAGTCACAGGCCTGGGCTGCAGGCCACTGGGATGCAGGGAAAAGGACCGATGCTGGCGGAATCTGGAGGTTTATTTCGATACCCCCTTCCCGTTAGTGTCACCTGGAGAACGTTTTGTAGAGTCATGTGTGTCCAAAGTTCTTGAGGCCACAGGGGGAGTCTCATGGCTACAGAGAGAGTCTGGGGGCCGCTGTTACCGGGCATGTCGGCCACAGTCCGGGGAGCTGCCTCCGGGAGCGGAAGGTCTCCGGCAGGCTGGGGGTCTGAGGGCAGGCGGCCAGGACTGGGAGCTAGGACAGCTCGAAGCCCGTGTTCATGCTGATGGCGTAGCGCAGCTTCTCCCGGAGGACGCTTTTCTTGCTGTAGTTGGGCAGCTTGAGCAGGTTAAAGCAGGTGGAGGAGGTGGGCAGACGGCCACCTGGCTCCCGCTTGCGGATGGTGAAGAAGCCCCGGAGGACGCTGCCCAGGGTGTCCCCAGTGTCCTGCAAGCACACATCACAGCGTTGGGTTGGGAGGTGTCTGGTGTGGGAGCCTGGGCCACTGCCCTGGTGTGGCCGGGCCCGTGAGTGTGCACACTTCCCGAGGCCAGCCCCCAAACAGGACGAGCCTCGAGGTGAGTGCACAGAAGCAAGCCCGCTCCTCGGACCCTGCAGAGGGATCCTGTATTAAGTAAGCACCAGGAAATGGGGCCTTCTGGTTAACCACTAATTATTGCATAACCAATTTTCAGAGCCAGAAGACTTTAGGTCCACAAACTTTTCTGCGTGTAGCCTAAGGCTTCCTCCGGGACCTCGGCAGTGCTGCGGCCCGTGGCAGACGGACGGGGCAGCCCTCCTAAGGTCGAGGGCTAGTGTCACACAGGAGGAGGGATCTGGAGCCCTGACTGCTGCACCTAGAAAGGCAGTGACACGCAGAGGCCACTGGGTTGCTACTGTTTGAGCACCAACCCCCAGAGCATGATAACCCCAAGGCATTCATTCTCTTTACAGATGAAAAAACGAAACAGCCTGCCCAGATGTGCAGCCGGCAGCTGCAGGAGTCGGCATTCGAGCCTGTGCCTGTTCAATCCCTGGGCCCATGTCCTCGCCCCTCTGTCCCACACTGCCCCGCAGACCTGGAGCCAGGCCAGACCAGCAGTAACCAAAAACGGCCCCCAACTCCCCTTCCCCGAGGGAGTAAGGGGAAGGGACTGCGAGCTGAGGAGGCAGGACCGGCCTGCTGCCCCTGCAGCACCGGGGAAGCCTCGCCTGGCTCTGAGCACCCGGCACCTGCCCTGTGGGGGGCACGCAGACAACCCTCCTGTACCTGATCGTCGGACACTTCGACGCAGCGAATGGAGAAAGGAGGCTTGAGGTAGGCGAATCCCAGCAGCGGGGGCCTGGAGCAGCTGGTCACGAACTGCAACACAAGGCGGGGCAGGGGACAGAGTGGGGCTCGCGCTCCTCAGAACGGCCTCACCGCCAGCTGCGTGCCTGTTTCCCCAGTCACATGTCACCGACCGCTGTTCGGCCGGCAGGACGGGTCACAGAGGGGACATTTGTGGGAGTCTGGTGGAGAAGTGGCCGAAGAGTCAGGAACAATGCCAACTCCCACCAGGGAAATGGTCTCCAGTGGACTGTCACGCAGGCAGCAAGAATCCTTCCTCAGGGACACCACACGAGGGCCCCGCCGATGAGAGGGCCTGGGGCTGGGGTGCAGGGCCCTGTGCCAGTCACTCTGCTCTGCACCGGGCTCCTGCTCAGCATGGCCACGCAGGCGGATGCGCCGGTGCACAGCGCAGTCTCTGAGCAGCCTCTGAGCCTGGCTCCCGGGGCCTGTCTCTGGCCGACCAACCTGCTCCCAGCTGGCAAAGACCAGGCCTGCAGTCAGGAGGGGAGGGGAGGGCCGACCGAGGCACCGGACACCAAACAGGGTCTGGGGGCAGACAGTCCCACTCCCCGCTGCACCCTCGGGGCTCCTGGCATCCCTCAGATGGCAGCACCTGTCACTCTCCACATGTGCTGCTAGCTCCCCCGGGCAGAGGCATCGGGCCAGCCCGGAAATCCAAGTGATGACCTGCCTAGGGGGTCCTGAGAAACCATTCGTTTCCTTGAATTCAACACGAGCCGAGCTGCTCTCCCTTCCCTAGGAGACACAGGGACCTGCTGCCTACAGCACGCTTGCTTCACAGTTCTGTGGTCAGTTCAGCAAGTTCAGTGCCTGGGTCTTAAAATAAATGTTACCATTTAAACAATGTTATAACTGAATGGGAGATTCCTGGGACCATCCAAAGATAAGTTTGTGTGTCATGCTTCAAAAACAGTTTTTTATGCGCTGGTCAGTGTGGCTCAGTTGGTCGGAACAGCCTCCCATATACCAGAAGGTTGTGGGTTTGATCCCCAGTCAGGGCAAGTAGGGGAGGCAACCGATTAATGATGTTTCTCTCTCTCTCTCCCCTTAAAATCAATTTTAAAAAAATTAAAAACCCTCTAGGAAAATATAAATCTTTAACATAAAAACTTTTTTTTTTTACAAAATGTATCGACAAAACAGATTATTGTCCCAATGTATTTTCTTTCCCACCATAAAAACCGTAGAACAGTTCCTGCTTAGAAAACACTGCCAAGCGCCCATGACCCTGCCTCATCCCATCAGTCCACGATGCTGCACGATCCACCCTGTTGTGAGGAGGGAGACAGGCCTGAAGAGTCCATGCATATCCCAGCGCAGGCCGCTCAGACCTGCTGCCTGCCTGAGCCGGGCCGGTAGGAGGAGGGCCCTCTCCCCTTCTGGGACCAGAGGAGGAGCGGAGGCCAAGGGAGGCCCGGGTGTTCTGCTGTCTTTACATTTAAAGACAGCACAGTCACATCCGTTCTCGCGAACAGTTCTGTGGCCTCCACCAGGCTCTGGGGCCCATCTGCAGCTGCAGAAAAGGGCAGCTCATGGCAGGAACCACAGGTTTGGTGACAGGCTCTCCAAAAACACTGGCCCACTTCGTGGGGCCAGGATTGCACGGTTGGGAAACACTGGCTTTCTTCTCTCTCTAGGAGAGGCAGAGATTGTTTTGCCCATAACAGAAATACTGGAAAAATGGAACTGATTTTCTTGAGAAATCAGATTCGGAAACTATGTCTGCCTGCCCACCCCAAGTCCCTCGGCATCTGCACAGACAACCAGTGCACGTCTGCATCCGTGGCTCATGACGGCCTCCCCAACAGGAACGGCCTCTCCTAGGAATGACAAACGCGACACCATTTCAGTTGGTGATGATAATGCCCATGAGGTCACACGAGATCATTCCAGAAACCCAAATGTCCAAAGGAAAATATTTCAAGGCACTTAAATTTACCCCCAGGAGACAGCACAATGTTCATGATGAAATAGCCAATAGAGAAGCAGGAGGCAAAGTGATACGGTTCCATTTTTATAAAAACAAACACACATAGCCCTGGCCGGGTAGCTCAGCTGGTTAGATCTCCGCACGTACATAACACACACAGACAAGTGTGTCTTCCAATCTCCTATAAAACACTTTGCTGATGTCAGTAACAAAAAACGTGGTGGCATTTTAAACATTACAACTTTAAAGACACCAGTACAGGGGTCCTGGTTAATGTCAGCCACTCTATTTGCAAAATACACATTAATATCTGCCTATTTAATTGTGTGTGTTTTACTGGGACATTGTATGTGTGATATTGCACATTCAGACTACGGAGGAAAAGCTACACAGAGGTAGTCCCTGGTGAGTAGAAATGGAGATTGTTTAAATCTACCCTGTAAGAAGAGAGATTGATTAAAAGTTTGCCCTTCTCTATTTCCTTCAGGTAAGGTAATGAGCACCGTTCACGTAAGAAAAGTACGATGGAGGCACCTTCGTACCTCCGGGCAGATGGAGTGCTGGGCCCAACAAGCACGCCTGTCCCTTCAGAGGGTCCACAGCAGGCTCCCCGCTCATCGGACTCAGTTTCACCTCGCCTTGAGGTCCTCCTTGGTTACTACTTGACCTACCATCTAGGTCTGCCTATGGGACAGGGTATGCTGATGATATGAGGCCCTCTTGATAATTTTTTCCAGCGTAAATTATTACATCAACTGGCCTTCTAGATTTAGGAGAATATCTATGTATGCGTGAATGCATGCACAGTAACACATACAATACCTTCAGGAACATGGCTCTCTCGTTGGGCGTGAAGTCGGAGGCCAGAATATCCCAGAGCCAGATAATGACCCTGTGACTCCCATGAAAACCACCGTAGTACACTGTGTGCTTCCTGAAAACAATCCAGACAACAGGCTCAGCCACACACAAACACAGGTAATCACAGAATGTATACACGGGCACTGCTAACTACTGAGTCCTCCTAAAGCCAGGAGCTCGTGCCTTAATAACCCCACGTCCCCGGAAGTGAGATGGGCGGGAGCTCATGAGCTGGCCCTGCTGTTCCAAGCAGAAGCCAACAGGAGAGCCTGCAGTACTAGAGCTTCCGAGAGCCCAGCAGTCCTCAAGGTCTGCTTCCACTTCAGTTCTGGGCAGACAAGTGGCTGGGCTTTTATTCCAAAGCAATTCACCCGCCATCGGGAGGGAGAGCATTTGGAGATGGGCTTCTGAATAACCCTCCAAAAAACCCAGCAAGGGAGCAGCTCGCCTCCTAGGAGGCCCAAGCATTTCCCCCTCGCCCTCTCACTCACTCCTTACTTTAAATCTTCCAGATCAATCTCAGCATTGTCACCGGAGATGAGACGCTGCAGCTCAGGGGTTGAGAACATCCGGATCCACTCGGGTTTGATGATAGAACGGAATCCGCTAATGAGGGCAGCTGTCTGGTTTTTTATTTGAGTGTGCATTCGAAAATGTGCCATCAGATGAATGTAGCTAATTCTGTTGCCAACAAAAGAAAACAATGAAAATTAACAGGAAAGGGCAGGCTGTTCCCAATGGGCTGGAAGATGAGTTCAGTCATTTCTGTTCCATTTTATAAAAACACAAATAGTACCAGAACATTTCACCAGAACAACGGAGATGATGATGATGATAGCTCTCCTGAACGGTACACTGTGTGCCACTATGAAGGTGTTAAATGTTCAAGGACATTACCTCATTCACTCCTCCAAAAACAAAACAAACACACAACAACAACAACAACAACAGCAGTGGATCATGAGTCCGGATAATACCCCAGCGTGTCAAGAATCAAAGCAAGGCATTCTCCAGGTAAGGAGAGGACCCTTCTTGGCACAAAGAGTATTTTCCAGAGTTGTATTTAATTCCATCCTTTTGGAAATATATCAATTAAGATATCATTCAGTCCTCCAGTAAGCTTTAAAGCATAGAAAAATAGCCGCATGTTGAAACTTCAATCCAACCTTGCTAATCTGGACCAAGAGAGAGGCCATGAAAAAGGAAGCCCGTAGAAAGTTCTAATCAAATCAGCTGTTACTAACAATGGTTCTAGGCAGATGGTCTTCTGGGTCTGTTTTTATAAACACGTATAACTGTATAGTATACTGAAATTCTGTGGAACAGTTTAAGTACATTCCAACAGGCTTGCAAGCACTGCTGATTTCTCGGGAAATCACTTACTCAGAGATGAAAGAACCCGAGCCCAGACCAGGTACAACTCTCAACATTCCAACTTAGTTCAGTCCAAGTAAATCTCTTATCCCACAGCACTCAGATCTGAATTACTGACCTTGAAAATATCCCTATTTAAAAAAATTACCCAGTAGCCAACACACATGAACGCACTTCAATATGACTTTATTTTTACTGTTAATCCTTTCCTATAGTCTTGGAAGCCAGTTATGAATACTGTTCCATTTTACCAGAGAAAAGAGGGACTTCCCCACTGAACACCTAGGACGTGCAAGATCAAATCATCACCCTGAAGGAGAGAGAAACAGCATTGCCAGGCCTTTTCGGATAGTCTGCAGAACTGAGTAACCTGCTCTTACACTGAGGATTTACACAGAGAACGTAGGGGTTTGTGAAAAACCTTCTATGTAGGAGGTTTCCAGTAGAGCAAGAAGCTCCCTCAACTGTCCCCCTTCCTCTGGCTGTTATGTAGGCAACTGCCACCATAACTCCTGTGCCATCGTGTCTGGCAAAAAAACCCACATGCCAATCTGAGGGTGGCTGGCTGTATGTGACGTGTCACGTATTCGATGATGGTGACAATGACCGCTGTCATTTACTAAGGCCCTCCTTTGAGCCAGACATCCTGGAAGGCATTCGACACGACACACGTTCTCACGTGAAGCCCTCTGAAGGGATGGTGGGGGCCCGAGGCAGCAGGAACAGGACCCATGGGCTCTGACGCCTCCAGGCAGTTCCTCCAGGCAGTTCCTCCCAACCAGGCTCTCTGATCTTTCTCAATTGTCAAAAAACGCCCCAGAGTCAAGAGTCAAACTGGTGTATTTCAGTCCCGATGAGAACTGGGTCTGTTCTGGCTATTCAGACAGACAGCCTGAAGAAAAGCTCCCAAGCCTGAGACTGACCAACCATCCAACCCAAAAGACAGGACACAGGAACATGGCTGTAACGTGCATCTGGTTCAGATGGCTCGCCGGGTGGGACTGGGCTCTCACTTGTCGTTGAGGAGAGCGACACTCAGGTTATAGTTCAGATGCTCAGCCAGCCTGGTGGCAAACAGACTGACAAAGGGCCAATACCTACTCCTCATGTCATGTTCTGCTATTTTAATTAGGCGAAAATAGGGTTGGTAGAGACAGCACACTGAGGGCTTTTGCTTTTAGGGACCAAAGAGGTTGACATTTATGACAGGTTCCTAAAGCCTGTTATCTGTGACAGTAGCCGCTGGGCCTCAGAATCTCCCACGTCTAAGGACCTGTCTGCAGCATTTGAATTCGTCACTGTGTGTTCTCGAGAACGGTGTTTTATACAACTGCCACATGCCATCATTCCAAACCGTCTGCCTCTCCGAGGTGTTTCTGCCTCAGTGCCCTCTGGGTTCAGGCCTGCGTGCCCGAGGGGCTCACAAGCCATCTGTCTGCATCTAGAGCCATCATTAAATCCCAGGAATACTGCGGCCTGGGTGCCTCTGACCTTAGAAGTGCCACTGCAAAAAATAAATTGTCAATTCTTATTTTGCAAATCGAATTTAATATGATTTTGGCCTATGAACTGTAACCAGTAAATTCCATTATAATATTTATGGCCTCTTTCTACTTCAATCAATCTTAATAAATTCTCAAAGTAAGCCCGGAGAGCCAGAATGAAGTCTTTTCAAGTGGTGACCTTAAAAATCAAATTGCTATAGACTCACTTATTTTCATTTGTAACAGGAATGGTCTTCCCTCCAGGAATCAGTTCATGGCAAACAAGCTGGGGGAGAAGACGGGGAATAATTACTCGAGAGAATTCTAACGGGGGAATAAAGTTTCCTGTAGATGACAGGGCCTGGCGCCAACGTCAGTAATGATGACAGAATTAAGATGGGACATGTTTGGGAACAATCATTTTCACAAAAAGCCTGGGCTTACATATCAGCAGGCAGACCCTGCAGGATCAGCATGAAAGGTTTCTTCTCATCTGAGCCTTGTTCAAACATTTGTATTAAGGCTTTGGGGTGTCGTGGAGAACATGTTAGCATCAGGAGCACAGTAGGATGGTTACATAAATGCTGGCACACTCATACCCGGGAGCACTGTACAGCTATTACAAACTACGACAGGCCCCGGCTGGTGTGGCTTGGCTGGTTGGAGCGTCATCCTGTGCACAGAATGCAACCAATCGACGTTTCTCTCACGTGTCGATGTTCCTCTCTCTCTAGTATCAATGAAAAAACATATCCTTGGGTGAGGATTTTAAGAAAACGAAGAAAATGTATATTATTGAAAAGATGGGGTGGGGGGAGCATGCACAGCATGGTTTTGTTTCTGCAGAAAAAATTGTGTGTGCGTCAGGAAGGAAAACCTGGAAGGAGACAGCCACCTACTAACAGTGCACTCTCCAGGCATCAGCGTTATGGGCGGTTTTCCTTTTCATCTGTACGCTCAGGTTATAGCTGATATTTGGTTAGGAGTTTGCACTATTTTTATAGTCAGGAGAGAAAATGAACAATGTCAGGAGGAAGGCTCAAGATCTGATTCAAGATTTGAAAATGCTATAGAATCTACTGCTTTCCTCAAATCCAAGAACACCTGCGGGTCACCTAAAATATCAGAGAGTGCATCGTTTTAAAGATAACATTAATAGAAACGCTATTACTATAATTCTAAAGATGTGAAAAGCTTGAAAAACAGTGACCTCTAGTGCCAATGCTGTGCACATCTTCGGGCGCACTAGAGGATCTCAGAGCGGAAAGGCCCTCAGCAGTTGCCCAGCCTGGCATTTCCTGTAGCAGGTCCCAGGGAACCTTGCCTGGAGCTGTGCTTCTGAGGCTCCTCCTCTCCCGGAAGGAGTCCCGTGAGCACGCGTGCTGGGCAAGCTGAGGTTAACGTAACTAGGCCAGGTTTCTTTCCCTCAGGCTTGGTGTCTCTTCAGGAGGGTAGGTAGGGCACGCGGGCATTTACAGGGCAGCCGGTGACACTGGTCCCAGGAAGGGTTCACATGCAGCGAGTGGTAGTTTTTGCGATAAGGGAACTGCGGCTTGGGGAGACCGAGGGACCTCTCCGAGGCAACGGGCAGGGCTCCGTGAGGCCAGCCCTGCACTCCTCAGCCACGGCGTGGCTTCTCCAGAGCAGGCCCCAGACCATGTGCGCACGGAGGCTCGTGCAGGGACGGACGGCACTTCTGAGAAAAGCCGAGAACTCGGAGAAAAGGGAGAACTCGGGGAGGAAACTGCTGCCACGACTCCAAGGGTCTTTCCCTTCTGCTCTGCTCTGTGATGAGTTGGAACAGGGACAGGACCGTTAGAGGCACTTCTCAGTGCCTTCCCCCGTCTAAGTCACAATCCTTCTGCATGACAGCTAGTCCTCACCACGGTAACAAGAAGCTGTTACAAACAGGGAGTTACGGCTCCCATCAGGGAGTGCGACCTCAGCAAAGCGAGGGACCTCAGCACAGGGAGGGTGGAGCAGGCACAGGCCAGGTCAGCTGGGAATGAAGGAGTGATGCCCTCCCTCCTGGCAAGGCAGGCCCAGGGGAACAGGCACAGACGGACGCAGGAAAGAGGCCCGACACACAGAGCGTCGCTTGTGGACCGCTCGGGGAGGGCACCAAGAGGAGGGCTGGCCTCAGGAACCCACAGAGCGAGAGGAAGCGCGCAGCCACAGAAGCCGACCTACCTGACCCATGACGTCCTCATCGTATGAAAGCGTCAGGCCCAGGTCGGCGATGTCCCCATCGTAGCGCTAACACAACAGAGAAGGGGAGTGTTGGGACCCAGGGGGCCACATCCTTGAAGAACTGAACACTCCTGCCACAAGGTCTACTTGGACAGAAACTGCTGTGGCTGCTGAACAGCTTGAAGCCAAGGAGAAGGCCACGCATCCCCTCGAGGAAGGAGGCGGTGAGCACCCGTCCTGAGAGGCAGCTCCCAGAGGGCATGGGGGCGGCAGTGGCGACAGAGTGGGTGTCTTTCCCACGGCAGGAAACCTCCTGCCAGCACACCACACCCGCGGGGCTTCACTTCTGTGCCTTCACGCTCGCGTCCAGCTAAGCCCTCCCGCCTTTCCACACTGACCTTAATGGAGGTGAGGTTTTTATAGAACTCGGAGTCCAGGGAAGGCAGTTCGTCCACTGAGCTGTAGAAGACACTGTGGTGGTGCCCGAGCAGCTGGCTCAGGAAGAAGGACGCGAAGGGCACGTCCACCACGATTCCCTGGGAGAGAGGAGACAGAGCCTGCCCTCCGCCGTCTGTCCAGGACTCACCCCCAATAATCTCATCAGGCAGCTCAGGCGGCAGAGGGTGCCAACAGCCCCTGTAGGCACTTCCTACATTGTCAATCTGGACAATACCCCTCATCACTTAACACAACTCAGTATATCTTGGGGACATTACAGTATGGTGGTAAAGGACATAAGCTCGCCCTGGCGGGTTTGGCTCAGCATTTAGAGCGTCGGCCCATGGACCTGAGTCCCAGGTTCGGATCCCACTAAGGGCATGTACCTCGGTTGAGGTTTGTCCCCAGCCCCAGTTGGGGTCGTGTGGGTGGCAACCAGTCAATGTGTCTCTCTCCATTGATGTTTCTCTCTCTCTTCCTCCTTCTCTCCTCCCTGCTCTATCTGAAGATAAATACAAAAATGTCCTCGGGTGAGGATTAAGAAAAAAAAAAAAAAAAAAAGGACATAGACTCTGGAGCTACACAGCTCAGGGGTCAAACCCTAGCTCTGCTGCTGCCAGGCCATGGGGTCTCGGTTTTCCATCTGCAAATGGGCAACAGCGCAGCCTTGCAGCTGCAGGAATTAAAGGAGCAGGGTGTGGGGGAGCACGGCGGACAAGCTCTCACCTAGAGGCAGGGCAGGGGAAATTTCCAGGAGGAAGAGACATCTAAGCCAGACCTAAAGGAGCACAGGCCTTAGTGCAAGGCCCACAGGCATGTTCCAGGGACAGAACACAGGTCTGTCTGGTTACAGCACAGTGTGAGACAGCAGGGAGGTGAGTGATAAGATCAGACAGGCAGGCAGGAGGGGCCAGATCAGAAAGGGCCCATAAGCCTCCTGGAGTCTAGATTCTATCCTGAGGGCAGCAGGAGGGTTCTGAGCAGCGAAGTGGCACATCTGTATGACCAGGGAGGGCTGCCGCAGAGGGTACCTGGGCAGTGGCTGAGAGGGTGGAGAGGTGTGTGGACGGGAGACTTAGAGGGGAGAGTCAATGAAGCGCAATGATGGCCTGTCCCAGAGGACCTCCTGAGTTAATGCGTGCTGCTCCTCGTGGGGCCAGGATGTCCTAATTTCTTTAATCTGTGTCATTGCTACTGTTGTTGGAGAGGGGGAAACGGAGACGAGGCCCAGGAAATAGGGGAGGACATTTGCAACAGCCAGGAAGTCACGCTTTTCAGCTGGCCTTGACACCGCTGGGTCTCAGCACAGCTCCACATTTAAAGGAAAAGCATGACATATGCCCAGGCAGGTCCTCGTGGGATTTTTCTTATTTAATGGGAATCAACTGAGAAAACTGTCTCCATTTTGAAGATATAAAAACAAGCATAGAAAATGAGCCCGGGCTACCCAACCAGTCCAGAGCGGGAGGACTGGAGTGTGTTTGGGCAGGGACTCAGATGGGGCACCTGCCGTCATCATAGCCAGGGGCTGAGGCTGTGGACAGAGGCTGTTTACACGGAGAGGATGATGGATTAGCTAAGTCAAAGGATGTTCACCCCACACGGCCTCTTTCCCCCAGCTCTGACTCTTTGCCTCTGGAAGGCATCCTGGCTTCTCTAGGCCTCTGACAGCATGTTGAGAGGAGGGGTGCTCGGGTGGCTCACTGCCTTGCTGCCTGAGCCCGGGGCAGGTCTCCTGCTGCTCTGGAGCCCACAGGGAAGGGCACGAAGACTGGCCACAGACAAGCTCAGGCTGCAGCTTGACTTCCTTCTGGAGGAGGTTCCTGTCCTTTCTTCCTTGACTGCAGCCTACTGACAGGCAGTTTACATGGCTAGGTCTGATCCCATAAATGCAGACAAAGCCCATGGTACTTCTCACGTTTTACTTTGCTTTCCAGTTCAATGCTCCTTAACATGCCTACCTCATACACGGCCTTCCCCAGCATTTTGCCCACAAACTCAAAGAGCTGCAGGTAATTCTCATGAATGTAAGATGTGGGCGAAGGGTAGAGTCTCTCATCCCCACTGGTTGTCTGCAAGGCAAAAAGATGGACAGAGGCAGAGAGGTTAAAAGCCTCGTAACAAGCAAGCCGTCTTTCACTTCTCATTTGTCACCTTGAATTTGGCTGTTGTCAATCCCACTCTCGTTCCCCTTAAATACCTTGAACAGGTTGAGTGCCGGGTCAAATACCCTCTTGATGATCTCTTCCAAGAACTCCTTGAAAACACCGTCCTGATCAATCCCCGCCTCGTCCACCCCGAGGTCATTGACAAACTTCACGCGGATCACGCCCTTCATGGCGTGCTGGGAGAGCTGCCGGAGCTGCTCGTAGCCATCCTGCCAAGGGCAGAAGTGCAGCCCGTTAGGAACCCAAGGCCGGCTGCACAACTCAGGGCTCCCCCCGCAGGGCTGCCTCTGCCCGTGCAAAGCTTCCCCAGTGCAATGAATGTCTGAGCCAGGGCGCATGGGCGCAGGAGAAGAGCAGTTTTCACCCGCTTTTAACTTTGAATTTTTTGTTAATCCTCACCCGAGTATATTTTTCCATTGATTTTTAAAAATTTTTATAGAGAGTAGCAGGTGTGGGGACGGGGGAAGGAGAGAGAGAGAGAGAGAGAAACATCGATGTGAGAGAGACACATTGATTGGTTGCCTCCTGCACAACCCCGACCAGGACCGGGGATTGAACCTGCAACCCAGGTACATGCCCTTGACTGGAATTGAACCCACGATCCCTTGGTCCACAGGCTGACACTCTAACCACTGAGCAACACTGGCCAGCACCTCACTTGTTTTTAAATGAGAGTTTGTTAAAAGGAAAATTCCTTTTGGGGGATGTGACCTTACCCCTCTTCAGCAAGGGGAGGCTTTCCTTGAGAGGATGCAGGGCAGTGAGACAGGAAATTAGACAAAATGAGTCATGATAAGCTCTCAGCCATCAAACAAGGGATGAGAGAAACCTGGACAAGATCTCACCCTCTCTATTTTAATGCTATGAGTATCTTTTAGCTCATGGTAAAAATCAATCAATCAAACTTACAGATAGCTAGAAGATGAAAAATAAAAATAACCTCCACCCTCAACTCTGGGTACCTCTTCCCAGATCATGAAAGGCCTTGTGAGTCATGCTGAGGAATTTAAATTATACCCCAAGGGCAATGAGGAGCCACAGAAGTTTATGCAAGGAGAGCATGGCTGGCTGGCTGTCTTGGAAAGATCCTTCTGTTGGCAGCAGAGCAGATGGATGGCGGATGGCAGGGGACAGGCAGAGAGCAGGGAGACGGGGTGCAGGAGTGAGAATGGTCTTGCATAAGGGCAGGAGCGGAGGGGAGCAGCCTTAGCACGCCTCTGGTTTATAACCGGCTCCCGCAAGACGCAGCCTGTCAGCACAGCTCCCCTTCCCAGAACTCTCGGACACACTTCAGGATTTTCCTGCTAAATCGTCTTGTCTAGTTTGTCTCTGGCTTACAATCTGTTGAGGTCTTCCTGGCTCCTGATTCTGTCATCTAATGTACATACCCCTGCATGTGGATGCTGATAAGCAAGCTGCTTCGGTTTTCATTTCAGTGATTATAAAACAGGCTGAACAGGACAGGACCCAGCATGAGGCCCGTTCACCAGGGCACCTATGTCTTCAAATACCATCACATAAGCAGCACATCAGCCACAACGGCCTCCCGAGGCGGCCCACCCTTCTCCCTCTCCGTGTGCTCAGACGTCTGCTGGCATTAGAGACGTCGTCTCCATGACATCCACTCATCTGTCACTCTGGCCCCTGGTCACAAAGCGAACGGGGCCAGTTTGGCAAGATCTGTTTTGGGGAACCCTTGCTGCCTTCCCGCCCATCACGTTTCCTTCGTGCTCGCCTCGTGATCCACAGACTATCCTGTGGTGGCTCCCGTCGTACTCAGAGTTAGGCTCCCAAGTCGGTGAGCATGGAAAAATGACCTCTGAAGTCCCTTAAGTCATCTGAAGGAACAGGAACATGATTTTGAGTGCGCCATCCTGAAGAATATTTTTTTGCATATGAAGTTTGAGAACCATTACGTTAGATGAAAAGAAGGGATAAACAGAAGTCACCATGCAGCTGCTGCAGCTCCAAAACCATTCTGCCTAAATTTAAGACAATTACCTTGGCGCTGAATTGGGGACCGATGGAGAATACAAACGTATTCCTGTTTGCCTGAAGGACTTCCTCCCTTCTGCTTTAAAATGACGCCTCCCTGACCTTCACACACATTGGCAGGTGTCTGGACTATGCGGGTTCAATGAGAAGGTGCATGTGAAAGCACTTCGCACGTGGACAAGCACGTGGCAGGTGTCCAAGGACTGTTTGCTGGACTCAAATTTCCATCTGGCTTCCTCAGCCCCACATTAGCCTTCTCTCTGACAAGCAGTAGAGGGATCTGCCGCCCGCCTCCTGACGTGCTTCCTGTTGCACCCCACTGCACGGCGGGCTCTGGTGTCGCTATGAGGGTTAGAATTGGCCCCTTGGGAAGGGGAGTAGAAGTCCAGCACTCACTCCTCTTTCCTGCTGCATCTCCGTGAGCAAAGGCAGAACCCTGACCGGGGGCGGGAGAACTGGCTCTGTTCCCCAAGGCCTTCGAGGCCTGACATCAAGTGACCCTGACTGAGAAATCTGAATTTCTCTGGCCTCAGTTCTGCCTCTGACCGGGCGAGGGGAAAGGGTTGAGCACACGTATGTCCCAAGTTCCTCCCAGTTCTGCAATGCTGAAGTCCCAGCCCCAGTTCGCCCTCTGTGAGGGGATGTCTTCGTGTAGGACTAACACCTGGACACCTAATACAGAAGGACCGCCTTCAATACAAACCACAGAAAAGGAAACAGAAAAAAAAGCCTTGGATACCATGAGTCTAATATCAACTTTTTGATGCCCCCCTGTGTCCAAATCAGGCAAAGGCCACGGGGCTTTCATGTTCTAATACTCAAACTACCAGATCTTAACACTGCTAAATGAACAAATGACACTCTTCCCCTCCTGATTCAATAGAACTCCAGTGATCAATTTCACGGCAAGATATTTCTAATGGGACATAAAGAGGAAAACAGACTTTGCCTAAAACCTAAGAGACATCCCTCCTTTGACATCCGTGAGTGGTGCATTTTATTTTTTATTTATTTTTTTAAATCCTCACTGGAGGATATTTTCCTATTTATCTTCAGATAGAATGACGGGGGAGGGGAGGGGAAGAGAAAGAAACATCGATGTGAGAAAGCCACATTGGCTGGTTGCCTCCTGCATGACCCCTACCAGGGCTGGGGATGAACTGCAACCTAGGTATGTGTCCTTGACTAGAATTGAACCTGCGACTCATTGGTCTATGGGCTGATGCTCTAACCACTGAACCAAACTGGCCGGGGCGAGTGGTGCATTTTAAAAAGCAGGTTCGAGTAACCAGGATGTCAAGTGACTTTTTCATAAGCAATGACACTTGAGAAGGGAGTTGGGGACTATCACTCTCAGGAGACATCAGTCTCTACCACTCTAGACTTCCTATGGGTGCTGGTCACATTGGAGGGAGTTTGATGGGTGGTGAGACTGAGAACTTTGATAGCAGAGATGATCTGAAGAAAATGCTGGAGAAGTGAGTTTCTATAAATCAACTGGGCTGTTTCTTCTTTGAGTCAATGCAGAGGTTGCCAATGGCCCACTGGTTGAATCTAGTTGGAAGACAGGTGTTATCTGACCTTCTAGGTACTTTATAAAATTTCATTAGTTCCCAACATAAAAGATCTGGGGATTTCACACAAAACCCTGAATTTTAGCCCTGGCCGGTTTTGCTCAATGGTTAGAGCAACGGCCCGCGGACCAGAGTCTGCAGGTTCAATTCCGGTCAAGGACATGTACCTTGGTTGTGGTGCGTCCCCAGCCCTGGTCGAGGTTTTACGGGTGGCAACCAGGCAATGTGTCCCTCTCATGTCAATATTTCTGTCTCTCCCTCCCTCCCACTCTATCTGAAGATAAACAGAAAAATATCCTCGGGTGAGGATTAAAAACAAAGCAAAACCCTGAATTTTGGCCTTCTCTTAAAAAATGAGAGCACCTTGGAGCCCATCAGGTGGAGATGAGCATTCCAGGGGGGCACATGTCTTCCACCTGCCCACTCTGAGGCTGGACGTCAGTTGTCATTTATCCACTCATCTGTGGGGTTGTTTCTTCTAAGGAGAGTTATAGACCTGGGGCTGGACAGTGAAGAATAGTTCCATTTGTCCTGCAAGACATGCTAGCCAGCTTGACCTATTCCCATGACCTGCAGGATCCCTGTGGGCACTTCCCCTTCTCATCCCTGCTTTTAACAATGTCAAAAATTGTATCTGTTTATCACCGGCTGCCTTTGCCAGGCAGACTTCACTGTCGATCACCAGTGGTCAGGGGAACTAAAACTACCTTTCCAGGAAAGACCATAAACACCCCACGGGAGAAAATGAAAACATGCAGGACGAAAGGCTGCAGTCATCGTCATCTGCTGGCTATATGGCCACGTGCTGTCCTGGGGTCCCACGACTCTTACATTGCACAACCTTCTAACGAAGAACTGTGGCCGGAGTGTGATAAAAGGTCTAAGGAGCAAGAAGGGCAAATAAATCAGACCAAGCCTCTCCTGGGCACAAGTCCTTGGGGCTCAACCACCAATTCCACGGCTGGCAGGACCAGCGTGCAGGCAGGCTGTACCTGACAGCCCCGGGGGAGGGTGTGGCACGCACACGGCAGACATCGCAGGGACACGCATTTACTATGACGATGTTCTGGCAGGCGGTTTAGTTCCAACAAAATCAATATATGATGACAAGTTTCTGACACAAAGAGGTCAAATATTCAGAGGACAGGCACCTGTTTCTAATTCACATGAAGTCACCACAGCATGGTAACCCTGGGCGGTGGCTTTGGCTACAGCAGGCCACTTCCCTTGCATCTCACAAGTTTATGTCTACAAAGAACTCGCTCTGTGATAAATGCATTTCCCAGTATGGCTCAGTCAACTTAACACCTACACCCCTCATTCCCAGCTGGGAGTCTGGGCAGAGCGCCTCCCGGGACAAATGGAGTTTGCACAGACATGAGAATATCTGCACATTGCACTTCCTGTCCTCATTTAAAGAGGCGTCAAGTGTTTGATGCTCTAGCCCAGGGGCTCTCCTGGTGAAAAGGGAAAGAAGTATTCCCCTGTCAGGTCCCCAGCACTGAGGACATGTTTAATCAAGCAGCTCTCAAAGCAGCAAACAAGACAAATGGCCACTTTCCTGCTCCCAGAGCCCTGATTTCGGTGTCATTAGATCAAGGAGTGAAAGAACAGTTCAGAGGCAATAGTTCATCCACTACAACGCCCACATTTCACAGTGCATGTCTCTCCTTCTTCTTCTTTTAATCCTCACCCGAAGGTATTTTTCCATTTATCTTCAGATACAATGGAAGGGAGGGAGGGAGAGAAAGAAAGGGAGAAAGTGGGGGGGAGGGAGGAGGGGGAGAGAGAGAGATGGGGAAGAGGGAAACATCGATGTGAGAGAGACATATTGACTGGCTGCCTCCTGCATGACCCCGACCAGGGCCGGGGACTGAACCACAACTGAGGTAGGTGCCCTTGACTGGAACTGAACCAGTGACTCTTTGGTCCACGGGCTGATGCTCCAACCGTGGAGCCAAACACAGTGTACACTTTGTGTGGGCTCCTCACCTCCAACATCCGGGACCGCCGGATAGTGATGTGAGTGACATGCGGGGAGGCGGAGCTGGTTTCCACAAGCCCCAGTTTCTCCTTCTCCTTGGTCACCATGTTTCGGAACAGGAGAACTCTCTGAAACGAGCAAAGGCAAGACCAGAAACAGGGTCAACAACGGACGATTCCCTACAGCACACTGTACAAAATTAGTGACACTTAAGATACATGAGATGTAATCAGAATGGGACGCTTCCATAGGTTAAAAAGTGACTTGAAGGAACAGTAAACATTCCCCAAAACACTCTTGGGAATTAGAAATGTAGCTGAAGTCATGCCAAGTAATGGAGGCTCCAGAGAGGGTGATCTGGCTGCAGCTGGAGTCCAGTTAAGAACAGTGGCGGAGAAATCATTTTCCTCGTTCAGTCAATAATCCGCCATAAAAACCTGGCAGCAAGACAAGTCACAGAGGCGGCTTTATGTAGCTGGGCCTGCTTTAAAGGAAATCAATATTATAAATTTAAAAAACAGAAACATTTCAAAGGTCATTTTTCTCACTGTCAGAATTTTTTTTAAATGACCATATAGAATAAAGGTTCCCGACCTTTTATCTGCCTCCTCTGTGCCCTCAAGCACACCGTGGTCCCACTGGTAATATTTCTCAATTATTGTTTGAAAAGAACCTTTTCTCTCCTTTCTCAAGATTCAGGTGAGCTGTTTGGGGCGAGCACTGACTGTCTGCCCCATTCTGGGTTTGAGAGTCACTGCTATAATAGCATTCAAATAACATCAGCTGAATGAATCAATAAATCCAACTGCAGCTGTTTTTTTAAAAACTGGGAGTCCCCCCAAAAGTCAAAGGCTTTGTTAAATACAAATAAGAACAATAAGAATAACAGTAGTAGTAAGAGTTAACTATACACAAAGGGAGGCTAGTGCATTTCACCAGATCGTTTATATTAACTATGACATAAATATGGTTGTAACAGAAAAAGTAATTGACAATAGCCTCCTAAAAAAGGAGGATATATTTGGGGGAGGTGCCATTTTTCAGTGAAGCAGCTCACTGTGGCTGGTTCAGGAGACTAGAAATAAGGACTTAGGTGCTCTGAACGTATCAGATGCTCTTGGGGTTCCAGGCCATGTGCACAGGAGAGAGCTGGGGGAGGACAGTGATGTGGGTGGAGGGCACCCTTGCCTCCCTCTTCTATGGCGGGGAAACTGGAGACGTTCAGAAACAGGTATTTAACTTGTGGGGGCCCACGTGGCACAACTGCTTCCTGTGACCCCACATCGTTAGCATGATCTCCTGAACGAGGGGTGCCATTTTATGGAACACGACACAGAAGCAGAGCTGCAAAGGCGACCACGAGAACGCCAGCCTCCAGGAGTCAAGGGAAGCCCGGATGGGGCTGTGGATTTCCATGGGGTGGAAGGGCTGAGGCAACCAGCTCTCAAGGGATGGAGAGGTACCTCGGCAACAGCAGAGGGCATCTGAGTAAGGATCACTATCCTTACCCAGATAAAGAAACGGCCTCGCCAAGGTCGCACAGGGGGCAGGAAGGCGAGATTCAAACCTAAAGCCATGCACAGAACACCGCACCACACCGCCGCTGCCCATCCCATGTGTCTAAGCCTTCTAAGGTGAAACAAGAGAGAGAAGTCTTTAGTCCTGTCAGGACATGAACTGCACATAAACGTGTAACAGCAACGTCAGAGTGCAGAGAATGAAGTGTTGTGTGTGAGGCAGGCAGTTAAGGCTTTCAAAGATGCAAAGAAAAGCAAGAGGCAATACAAGCCACCCACTTGAGTGAGATCAAGAACAGGGAGAGGTTCAGCGTTTAGGGACATACAGCACAGTGGTAAGAGATGACAGAGAAAGCAGGACTGGAGAGGTCCTATTACCCTCCAGTGCACTCCGGCAGGAAAAAACCAACGGGAGGCAGCACAGAGCCTTTCAGAGGCAGTGAAGCCCGAGACGGGAGACGACATGAACGTCCTTGCCTCTCTGACACACCAAGCTCCAGACAATCGCCCAGACCTGCAGGTGCCATTGCAGGGAGTAGGATGGGCCAGGGGATGGGGAGGGCCTTATTTTCCCAAGGGAGGGGAAAGACAGCTTTTTATGAATCAAGGACAAAAACACTTGATAATCTTAAGCAAAATTCCCAAAGAAAAAAAAATGGTGAGGATTAGAATACAGCCTGGACTCAAAAGTCACGCAAACTACTCTCAGCGGTTCCCACATGTTCATGTTCACTGCGCCCCTAACGGCCCAGCATTATTTTCATGACACTCCTAAGTCAAAAGAAATACTTAACAGTTCCATGTACTCAGTAGTTAATAACGTCAGTATTTGTGTGCTAATAAAATAATAGCTTTATTTAAAAAATCCACATACAGCCCTGGCTGGTTTGGCTCAGTGGTTAGAGCCTGTGGTCCCGAGAGACCTGAGTTCAGTTCCTGCTAAGGGCACGTACCTCGGTTGCAGTTTGTCCCCGGCCCTGCCTGGGTTGTGCGGGTGGCAGCCACTCGATGTGTCCCTTTCACATCGATGTTTCTCTCTCTCTTCCTCTCTTTCCCTCCCACTCTATCTGAACAAAAAAATAGAAAAATGTCCTCGGGTGAGAATTAAAAAAAACAAAAACACACACACTAAAAAGATTTTTAAATTTCACTTTTAAAAGCTAGCTTAACAAATATGACATTATTGAAAAGAATGCTAAAACTGTGATCTTGAGCTAGTACTTCATATAGTGTCCAAAAGACTTCACTGTGCTCCCCATAAAACTTAAAATATCCTGTGGCAACCCAGGGCACCCCAGCACACTGTCCGTGAGCTGCAGGTAGACAGAGGGGAGGTTCCAGACTATAACATATGAAGTGCTATGGTCCAGGGCTGAATTCACAGACACACAGGACCAGGATGCGGTGTTATGTTTTTTTTAAAAAAATTTTTTTCTTTATTAATTTTAGAGGGGGGGGAGGGAAAGAGAGATAGAAACATAGATGAGAGAGAACATCATTGGCCGCCTCCTGCATGGCCCCCACTGGGGATTTGGCCTACAACCTGGGCATGTGCCCTGATGGGGAATAGAACTGGCAACCTCTTGGTGCATGGGTCTCTGCTCAACCACTAAGCTACACCGGCCAGGCTGGTGTTATGTTTCAAGTCAGACTCTACCAAACTGGACTAGGCCCAGGAGAAGAAGGGATGAAAACCACTTCATGAGGAATATTAGCTGGAGAAGGCTGCTAACCCCTGAAAACAGGAGACTCAGAAGGCAATGAGAGTTGTCTGCAAATCTAAGATTAGCGATTCCACCTTCAGTGGCCAAAGGGCAGAAGTTACAGAAAAGTAACTCAACTTGTGACGAGAACAAATGCTCCATCACTGGAGAGACAGCCACAGAATGGCTTGCTGTGCAGAGCTGAGTGCTCTCGACGAGCCAAGGTCAGGCAGACGGCCGAAGGGGCTCTGTCGCACGGGCGTGGGTAACTAAGTCATCTCCATGAGGTCCCTCATTTCTGAGAGGCTCTGCTGTTAAGTGCAGTGAAGAATGTAAACAGGACTGTTCATTTGTGAATCACTGCTGGAGGGTGAAGAATGACGACCATAAGTATTACCGTCAAGGTCGAAACAGTATCAGAGAGCAGTGAGGAGTGTCTCTGAAAAGTGAGATGTAATTTGTAAAAATGTGTGGCATTAAAAAAATAAAATAAAAATGTGACTTAATGCTTTTCTAAAAATATCTATTTGGTCAAAAAGAAAAAGGAAAGAAAGGGCATGTCTAGAGCTGTGAGAGCCTCTTCTGAAGCAGCATGGGATTTAGGGTGTCCAACAGACATTCTGGAGTGCCCACAAGCACGGGGCGTGAGCAATGCTCCCTCAGTTCCTGGACACCCTGCCACAGTAACCGACCCTTCCCGAGTCTCTTATGTGCCGTGGGTCTGCGATTCCACACTCTGCTGGCTTTCTCCCTGATTCCTTCTGTCCCTCTGCTCGCCCGTTAAGGGGCAGGTCCTGCAGGGCTCTGGCCTTGGTTCCCTGATCTTCTCACTCCATCTGGTTACCTGAGCCCCTCATCCATGGCCATGAATGCAATTAGGAATCTTAGGTGCTGTCTGCCACCCAGTCCTCTCTCCTGAGCCCGAGACCCATGTGTCCAATGGCCTTGAGGAGTCACAGATGCCTCCCACGCTACCCGATCAAAGGTGACCTCACCAGCACTTCCCAGACCTGCTGGTGCTGTGTTCCTGCCTCAGGGAAGGCTCCCCCAGGCACCCAGGTGCTCAAGCCAGAAATATGAGCACCATCCAAATCCCTCCTTTTCTTCTCCACTGAATGTCATCATTCTCCAAGGCCTGTAGGTACTACCTTCTTCAAAATCTCCAGACTTTATCATTTTTCTACTACCGTGGCCCCACCCGAGTCCAGGCCAGATTGCCTAAACACCTCTGCCTCTAGTCCATGCCCCACACTACACCCACAAGACCTTTCGAAAGCATAGCTCTCACCAGGTGCCTCCAAAGCCGAAAACTCTCCAATGGTTTTGGACAAAATCCAAGTTCCTTGGTTGACAAGGCCCTTCTTTTTTTTTTATTTTTTATTTATTTATTTTTTTTTATCCTCACCTGAGGACATTTTTCCGTTTTTATTTTGTTCAGGTAGAGTGGGAGGGAGAGAGAGGAACACAGAGAGAGAGAGAAACATCAATGCGAAAGGAACACATCGAGTGGCTGCCACCCGCACAACCGACCAGGGCCGGGGACAAACTGCAACCGAGGTACGCGCCCTTAGCGGGAACCGAACCCGGGTCTCTCAGGACCGCAGGCCGACGCTCTAACCGCTGAGCCAAACCGGCCAGGGCTGACAAGGCCCTTCTTATTCCAATTCCTACAACCTCCTCAGCTCCTTCACTACCTCCTATGTTCTCTCCAGCCAGACTGCATGTCTGGCTCTCCAACAGCACTGCACTCTCCTTCACTCGGGGGCTTTTAACACTGCCCACTGTTGCCTGTGCTCCTGACCCCCTTCCTGGGCTCCCACAGCATCCATCCCTGTAGCATACACCTCACTTGGTACCAGAGCTGCCAGTTAATACCGTCTTCAATCTCTGTACCCCCAGCACTTAGCTTCATACCCAACACAGAGTCAGACCCAATCATGGTTTGCATTTGCTGAATGAATGATCTCATTTATTCATTTCCAACTGCAGTAACAGGGATGGGAAGTCAGGAACCAGGTGGTGGAACAGAAAGATGCACAAGGAGCCCAGCTCTGGGTGCGACTCACATTTTTATGAGGAATGACATGAGGGATGTACTGCAGGATCAGCTGGGCCCGTTTTCTGTCCTTGTCCAGTTCTTGGAAGAGAACACTAGGTTTGAGATCCCTTTAAAAGAAAGACATGGGTTTGGGATAATTAAAACAAAATAAAACAAAAAACATTCTAGGCAAACTGCACATTGCAGACCCAATGCAGCCTGCTGCCTGTTTTTGTAAATAAAGCTTTAGTGGAACACAACCACACTCAATATTCGTTACGTATTATCTCTGGCTGTTTTCGCTCTGCTGCAGAGTCGAGTAGCTGCAGCAGAGGTTGTGTGGTCTGCAAAGGCTAAATAAAACCGTTCCATCTGGGCTTTGCAGAAACAGTCTGCAGTCCTGCTCCACCGACACACCTTCAAGCTCTACAAGAGTTGGCACATTGCTGATAAAGCAATTCAGACATGATCTTAGTTATTGCAAGAGGATTCCCCAACCTTATCCCTCCAAAACACCCAGCTATAGTTTTTATCCTGCTAATCTGATTTTTAAAATCTGCCATTTAACTAACATAATCTGTTGCTCAGTTCAGCTGAAAATTTTTCTTCGTCCCAGTCTGGACAAGAAACACCTGCTAAAGGTGTCCTGGCTCTGCCGCTATGAGCTCCAACCATCTTCAGCTGCATATTTTAACAAAAGCAACTGCTAGGTGAACCCTCTGACAAGTGCTTCTGAACCCTCTGAACAATAGCTCTCCTTATGCAAATAAAAGGTAAAGGAGAGGGACAAATTCCTCTCTGCCCTGGGACATGACTGCAGACCACTCCAGCAACTCCCCCGCAGGCAGGCAGGCAGCGTGACAGAGGGGACTCTGGTTCCATACCCCCCCTGCCCCCCCACTCACTTTCGCAGCCAGTGGTCCTCGGGGGCGAAGCGCCGCCGACAGTCCCTCTCATACAGCACCATCAGCCACCCGTGCACTGACTGGAACAGCTCCAAAGTCTCGCCCTTGGCGTTCTCTGTGGGGCACAAGCAGGAGAGTCACACTCATGCAGCTGATCAGAACCGGAGAGGACCTGAAAGCACAGCTCGTGTCATGAAGTCCCATCAAGGTCTTCCTCTACCTCACTTTGAATCTGCCATGGAACCAACAGAATTTAAAGGTACCCTGGGCATGAAGTGTCTATAGGACTTGAGTATCTCTTAGCACAATGCCTCACGCTGCCTCCCACTAGTATGTATGTCATCAAGGACCTTTTAAATCTACGGAGCTTTGTACTGGGCCACACCAGGAGGTCGACTCTAATCTGAGGTGTTAGCCGGCACACTTTTATCTTCTCAAAGATAAAAATCAACTCAAAGAATCAAAAGGAGATTTGGGGCAAAATTAATCATCCCTAATAATTCCTGACACAAGCAAATCTTGAAAAACACAAGGAGAACAAGACTTCTTTAACCACACCACTGTCTTAAGAGGTCACAGATAGAGAATGAAGAAATACAATTTCTTATCAGGTGAAGAAATGTGCATTTTCAGTTAATACTGACAGACAATAAGGCCAAGAATCCGCTGCTCTCATTGACTCTGGCCTCCCAGGCTGCAGCATCAACCACCATCTCTACCTTACCTATGATTCCATCCCAGATCATCTTGAACACGAAGGAATTCAGAAAAGAGGAGATGGTAACCAGCTCTTCTAGTTTGAATGAAATCTGTTCTTCATAAACTTCTATGTCATCAAGGATCCTAAATCAGACAGAAAATTATTCATAACTGTCCACTGAGAAAAGGGGAAAAACAAGATCTGTACTTCTTAGAAGACAAAATGAGGTCAAGAAATAAGCTCTATCTTTCAGAGAAGCTTACGGTAAAATGTACAGATAAAGTAACACATGTGTAGGATTTGCTTCAAAGTGACAAGAGGGGAGAGCGGGTGGGGTGTGGACGAGGCAGGACGGCCGTGAGACAGCTGCTGAAGCTGGAGGGGGGCACGTGGGGCTCGTTGTTCTACATTCTCCCTCCTTTCATTGACTGGCCATAGTAAAGAGTTAAAAATACAATTAAGAAAAAAAACAGTAAGCTCTACTCTGTATTTTTCTTACTCATAAGGATCAGACGGTGACACTTGCTTAATTCATGCCTGAAATCCTGCCTGAATATCCAGGAACCCTGACTGAGAGCCGTGTCTACTGAGGAAAGCGTTGTCTCATTCTGCATCTATAACAGACACTAATGGCACTCAGTAGGTACTTGAGAAGTACTTATGAGTGAATGAATAACGGTCTGAAAGAATATTTGAATAAATAAACCATTTAAGATACAGCCTTATCTAAAAATACCCTAAAACTGCTGCATTCACGTTAGACTATGAGTCACTCTTGGGTCATCCCTGACCCAGCAGTTCAGGGTATCTGCACTAGCAGCTACAGACCCCTGCTCTTGGCTCCAAATGCCCACTGAGCCCTCCCTCCATGATTCTTACCCAATCTGCCACCTCCAAGTCTGTGCTGCCCTCCTGCCAATGTCTTCTAGCCTGAACCTAACTGCCTGTGAGGTCCATTCTACCTTGTCATTCTTCACCAACCTTTTGGGAAAAAATGGAATTCAAAGAATACCAAATGTGCCCTGGCCAGTTTGGCTCAGTGGTTGGAGCGTCAGCCTGCGGACCAGAGAGTCCCGGGTTCGGTTCCTGCTAGGGGTACGTACCAAAAAAAAAAAAAAAAGAATACCAAATGCACAAGTAGACACGTGAGCTTAAAGAACAAAGGAATTGAATGGAACTAATATCTGTTAAATTTCTCACTCTGTTGCCAGGCACTGTACTAAGTAACTGACATTCCTTTTCTCATTCACTCCTTATCACATTGGTAATATTATCTCCACTGCCAAGGGTATCTTAGCAAGTGGTGGAACCAAGTTTTGTACCTTGGCTCTCTGGCTCTGAAAATTTCCAGTAAACTACCTAGCACAGTGAGTAAATGGCTGAAGTAATTTGGACCCAGATCTAGGAAACCCCAAAGCCCACATTCAGTGGTACTGACCCAGCTCCCCTGACAGGATGGGAACTAACAATTGCTGAACCCCTGCTACATCCCACCCACTTTGAAAATGTTTCCTCATCTAACGCTTCTAAAACATCATTTATAAAAGCAAGTGGTGGGCCCTGCCACACAGGTCCAAACGTTAGCATCGGTAACTGCTTCCTCTCTGACACGGTAATTTGGTTTCCCCACATTCCAGGAAAGGAGTTCAGGACCACAGCAGTCAACCTACGTGATGAGGTGCCGGGAACAGTCACAGAACAGCATCAGCATGGCCAAGAGCTGCTTCGACTCTTCTGTGTCATTGTTGAGGCATTCCAAGAAGAGCTTTAACCCTCCGTGGGGACCCAGCTCACAGATAAATGCCCACAGTTTGGGCAGCAGGTCATCAAGGTAAGTGAGACCTGAAAAAGGGTAGAGAAATCCAAGCTTCAGGTGGGGGTTCCATCTGGTCCATTATTTCCCTATCCATCAGGGAAACAAAACAGATCTACCAGTGAACATTCCATGTGTGTGACGGAAAGAAGGTGTAATCACTAAGAAAATCATCAGCATGAGAATAGTAATAGCTAACTTGTACTGGGTGCTTACTGTGTGTCAGATACTATCGCAAGTACTTTACATGCATTATCTCCTTTACAGTGTGAAACTCAATGTTACCTCAAAATCACACAGCCAGTCACTGTCAGAGCCTAGAATAAAACCCAGGTCTACCTGACTCAGTGACTGTTTTAAATTAGATATGAGCAAATTTTTTTCTGGAAAGGGCCAGAGAATCAATATTTTTAGGCTCTGTAGGCCAATCTCTGTCACAACCCAATGCACCATTGTAGCACAAAAGCGGCTATTAGACAATATGGATGTGGCTTTGTTCTAATAAAACTTTATTTACAAAAGCAAGGGGTGGCCTGGCTTTGGCCCACAGGCAGTAGTTTATCAATACCTACTTTAAACTGCCTTGTAGACTCACCCACATTTCACAAAGCTTTCCTCTCCTCTACTTCTATTATTCTACATTAGAAATAGGAAAGCAACAAATGGTCGTAGTAGAGGTACTCTCAAGTGTTAACACGAAAGTTTAACCCTGGCTGAAGCAGAGGGCATTTTAAGTCTGCTTCCTGAGGGCTACAAGGCCTCAGACACACAGCTATGTCGTTGTTATATTTTAAATCTATTAACACAGCTATTGACTTAGAAAGTCTGGCTCTGAAGTTCCATGTGCCATTGAACATATATTACAGTGTGTTCCTGAATTTATTCCTCAGATAAGGGGGAGCCGCCTTATATCTGAGTCCTTAAACTACCTCTCATTTTATAGAATTACTTCATTTTGAACAAAACTGTTTGGGGAAGATTTACTGGCCTGGCACAGGGGTAGTACCGCAGAATTAATGCTACTTATGGATTTTAGAGGGTTGTAAAGAAGGCAAAGAAATGTTTAACATCATTTAGTTATTATTCCTAAAGGTTTGACCTCATCTTTTCAGGGATAGGAGGATGTGTTTATAAAATGCAGCAATCTCACAATTTAAAAATAGGTTAAAGAATAGAAAAAAAGAAAAAGAAAAGGTAGTTACATTGTGGCAATCATAAATATACTCCTACAGGACAAAAGAAGAAACACAACTGCCCTCACATTACATGCACGGGCACACGTGGTGTGGACGAAAACACCCGTTGACAGCATCCCACCCCGATTCAGCAAGGGCAGCATCCCGAGCAGCTGAGGCAGACCTGCAGACCCAGGCTCTGGGGCCACGTGAGAGGGGCACATGGGCTTTGGACTGGGGCACACACGTAAGGAATATAAACACAGATGCTTTGCAAATTTTGAGAGTAGAAAAACAGCAGTATTTTTAAAAATTGGTATATTTTCTCCAATTTAATGTGTACACAGCTAAACTAATAGGCTAGATATTTTACAGATACTTTAAAACTACTTTATTGTTATTCTTAAAAGTACACACTTTCAAGTTGACCAAAAAACTTTGATTCTTTTATTGGGACTAAGGGGGATGCTTAAATTTGTGGTCATCATCTTTAAAAAACTGAATACAGGTAGCAAACTCATCTCACTCAATATGCTTCCCAAACCCTCACATTGGGTGCTGGGGTGCCCGGGCCTGGTCTGGGCCCCTTCTCTTCTCCCTCTGCACTCTCCTCAAGGGACCTGCCCTAGGCCCAAGGCTTCACCCGCCATCCCTTGGCTCATGCCCCAGTGGAGTACACTCAAATGGCTGCTTGGCACCTCTGCTGCAGGTCCAGCTGGCACCTTACACTCATCAAAGCCAACACAGAACTCTCCAACCCCAAGCTCCGCCCTCAGCTGGTCATCCCCAGCTCTGAAATGGCACCGTCATCCACACAGTGGCTTGGGCCAAAAATCTGGCAACATCTTGGGAAGGTTTAGGCCCCACTCTCCCGAATCCAATCTACCTCTGAAATATATCACAGATCCCCCTGCTTCCATCTCCAGCACTACACCAGTTCGTTGTTCTCAACCAAGGATGATTTTGTCCCCCAAGGGCATTTGGTAATGTCTGGAGCCAGGTATGGTTGTCAGGGGTAAGGGAAGGTACTACTGGCACCTATGGGTAGGGCCAGTGGCTGCTGAACATCCTACAGTGGACAGGATGTCTCCCACAACACATCTGGCCCAAAATGTTAACCATGCTGAGGCTCAGAAACCCTGCTCTAGGTCAAGCCAACATTGTCTCTCATTATCTTCACTGTCATAGTGCCCACCATTACATTAAATATATCTTTCCCTTGCTTATGATTAATCTTCACCTACTAGAATAGAATCCCCTTGGCTGTCTTATTCACCTGTACCCTCAGTGACTGGCATACACAGCTGTTCTGTGAACATGTGAGATGAAGTGTGAAAGGGAGAAGCAGCAACAATTTATGATTTAAAAAAATATAAAGTGCAGCAGAGAAGTTCTTAGTCTTTTATGTAGCAAACAGCTTCATGGCTTACAGAATTCCTGTCCTCATGATACCAGTTCATCCGAACTCCTGCACTGCCACTTAAGACCCCCTGATGCCCAATTCTTTGCTCACAGAAGGGATGTTCTTCCTTGCTCAGCTAAAAAGAAACACGCTGGGCATGTCCATGCAATAACATATTCTGAAGCCTATACAAGTGAGGTTTCTGAAGGATTGTTGACATGATAAAATGCTTATAAGTGACTAATAGAAAGGGAAGGATAAAACCATTTCAACCTAAATATATATACAAGCAGCACACTCAGGCACAGGTAGTCGTGGGATTAAGAGTGGCTTAAGTTTTCTTTTTTCTGCTTCCTTGGCTTTTCTAGTTTTCTGCTCAGAAAAATACTGTTTAAGAGCAAATTGTACTTCATAATGAAAGTAAAGAGCCAGGTCACAGGAACAACCTGGAAGTGCTAGGATTGAGATGAGTTTGAGCTGTTTAACTAATCGCCTCTAAGAATGGCTCAAAAATACCCTCCTTCAAAGGAAGCCAGAAGAAAATCAACCTGTTCCAGGCAAAACTGTCGACCAAATGTGAGAGAGAAGATGCCTCAGGCCTCCAAACCTGTGAGTATCTGCAGCCGGATCTGGGTCAGAGTTGTCAGAGAGGTCTGGTAGAGGACACAGATGTTGCAAACCTTCTGTACTTCTGTAGAGTCGACGCGTTTACCCCCCACAGGCTTGAGAATATTCCGCACTGACGCAGACTTCTGAAACGCGCGCTTCAGGAGATCTGGCAGTGGAGAGAAGGAGGAATGGGTGAGCAGAAGTTCAGCCATCTGCCAAGATCCACCCTGTAGAGGGAAGAGCATTTCAATAAAGCTCCTAATTTGCAGCCACAACCCATTGGTGGGGCTGCTGCTTGATTCAAGTCTTCTCTTTGGGATAAATCACACATTAACAATAGGTTTTTAGGTAAAACCCAAAGACGTTTTCAGAATCAGATTTCTCAGAAGCAGCCAGGCAATCCGAGTGTTTCATGAGATCCTTGTATTGCACCATGTAACTTCATAATCCGCAAAGGTAAACTTTCCAAGGACTGTATTAGGGGGAAGTGGGGGAAAGATAGGGGTCTGGTTAATCCTCAACATTGTGCTTTTAGATGGAAGAAGGGGCATTGACCTCAAGTACTGATATGCAGCTTGAGGTTGTACCCCACTTTCGTCTGAAAGCCTCCCATTTCTATGCTGCTGAAGTTGGATTCGCCGAGCCCACGCTCACTGACAGCTACGAGGTGGACGCTGCACACACTGGCCGGCAGAGGGAAAGCCACCCTGAACCTGGAAATCTGCTGCTGGCAGGTAATTCCACCGAAGTGTGTGTTGGGGCATTTCCTCAGCTTTCGTCAGTGTGGGCAACAAGAAGCCTTTCCACAGAACCCACTTCCGACCCTGCGATGGGAACTGAGCTGGTAGCCTGGTCAGTGGCCCAGCGGCCTTTTTATCAGGATTCCCACATGGGAGGTTTCTTCTATGATTAGGAACTCAGAAAAGCTCTGCTTCCCCTAAGAAACAGGCTTCCTAATTATGAGAGGTAAGAAAGGGTCCCAAGGCCCTTTGCATGTTGGCTACTAGAAATTCAGAGCCAAAGGGAAGGTCAGAGAAAGCCATGGTGACCTTCCTGGAACATTTGTCAGTGGACATTCTCTATACATGACCTTGATTTCACCTATTTCTGTTGGTTCTTGTTTTCTATTCCTAAGGATTTTCTGTTACTGTTTTGCTAAACGTGAAACTGATTTAAGCAGTCTCAAAATCTTTGCAGGAGAAGTCAGAGCGTCACAGGAACAGAGGGGAACAGGCACCCGGCACGTCCGCCCAGCAGAACCACCCACAGGCCAGGCCTGCTCCAGCCGCTCACTTTTCACGGGCAGCACATTCTGTGGGGAGGCCGGCTGCACGTGAGCCGCCGGCTCCTGGCCCTCCAGCAGCTTCTTGCTCAGGATGTCACTGAAGAAGATCCGGATCAGAGGCACCCCCCACAGGAACTGCAGCTGTTTGGTGATCAAGGGCATTGACTCGTTAAGGCTAGGAGAGAAAAAGAGACCAGATGTGTCAGTTCCACCTGGCGGGTGGCCAGGGAGAGCCCAGGTGGCTCCCTGAGAGGCCTTGCACTTGGAGGTGCAGCTAGGGTCTGCCACTCAACATGGTCAATAAGAAAGTAATAATTTAAAAAGGGGAGCCACAAATTGCTGCCGAGGCCGGATGGGTAAGGCACTGACCTTTTTATCTTCCCTGTCACTCCACCCAGACTTCCTGTGCTGCCAATAGCACTGCGGCTCTCCCTGGGTCCCCGTGCTCCAATGTCACCCTTCGGCTACTCTTCACCCTAAAGCCATCCTGTTTCCCATTCAGCTGACAAAGCCGTCTCACGCCTGCTGTGTTGTCCTCCTCATCACAGCCAGCTGCCAGGAGCCCGCAAGCCTTGCTGACTCCAGCCTCCTAGAGGCTCACTGCCTTCAAGTGCTCCTTTCTCTACTCCACACCGCAGCGCCAGCATCACTCACACCCTGAAATCTGCCTTCATCACCTCCCTGCTCGAAACCCTATAATGGCTGCCACTGCCTTCCTGCATCACAGTAACAGCCACCACCCACCGAGCATGGGCCGGGCCTGTGGCAGGCTCTGACATGCATCATGTCATTCCATCCTTGGAGACATCCCTACCCCCATATTTCAGATGAGAAAAGTGAGGTGAAATGACATGTCCAAGGTCCCCTGGAGAACAGGAGTGCAGCTGAGACCAAGCTTTTCTGCCTCAAGAGCACCTGGCAGGAACCCCAGGCCTCAGGCAGCTATGTGAACGGAAAACAGCCGAGCAGCGCAGCCGCCTGAGCTCCTGAGACCCGCTTCATCCCAGCACAGGGTGTGCACTTTCAAACTCGGGATGTCACCTTACTCAACCTCTTAATCTCTATCATCTAGCCTACAGTTTCGGTTTTTTAAATAGTTCTGCGTTCTTGATTTAGAATTTTAAAATTTATATTGAAAAGGATCTGAGGTCACTTCTATTCCCTGTGAATTATGGCAGTCTAGGCAATTGATAAAATGATTTTGAAGATAATATTATAAATAAGCTTCATAATTTACTACATGAAAAGAACAAAATACAAATTAATGTGTTCTCATTTCTGAGGAACAGCTGGTAGGAGAAAGACTGGAAGGATGTGCACATAGGTTGTCTCAGGATAGCAACCAGGGAGACGGTTTCTGTTCTCTCTTGTTCTCGCCTACTCTATTTATAAAATGAGTATGTATTTCTCTTGTAATAGGAAACAAAACAACATAAGCCAGAATGAAGAAAGAAGGGAGAGGTGGTGGGAGAGAGGCGGGAGGAGGCAGGAGAGACAAGGCTTTGCCCCCAGCACTCACCCATAGTCCACGGATTGGGAGAACCAGCCAAGGACAGGGTGCCAGTGGGTCAGGTTGGATTTCTTCTGGGACACGTACTTCTGACAGTAGCACAGCATCTGGGTGAGCAAATTCACAAACCCATCCGTCTCCTCCTCTAACACTCTGGGGCTGAGGGAGCCCAGGTGCAGGAGGTTGCCTGCAAAGAGATATGGCTGAGTGCGCTGGGCCCAGACAGACACGCTTCATCACCTCCCAGCCCTGCTCTCTGCCTGGGCTCTGGCGGCCACACCTGTGTGCAGGAAGAAATCCCACACAGAGGAGCACTCGTCAGTGCTGGGGCTGCAGTGCGGTGCAAAGCTAAGAACTAGGATGACCTGGCTTCAAATCCTGCTCTGCCACAGACCAGCTGCACGACCCTCAACCCACCTCTTGAATCTTGTTTCCTCATCTGTGAGACTGGAATGATGACACCCCCCCCCCCCCCCCCCCCCGCCAGGATGTGAAGACTGTATGAAGTAACATGCAGGATGTCTGGCACACAGAGGTATGTGATACTTAGCTAGTATGACATTTTAATAGTATGCTAACATTTAAAAACCAAGGGTTAACATAAGAAATGACCTTCTGAAGAATATCTGAATTTCCTGGGAAATCACTGTTATTCAAAGTTCACCAAAGTTATTTAACATGCCTTGTGTGAGGACTCCCTTAAAATTTAGCCTCAGAGCCTTTTTCTATGTGAATAAATCAGGCACAGAGAATTATTCATGTCTGTTGTTTTCAAATACTTCTAGCCACAAACCCTTTTACCTACAATGAAAACACAGTAAAACTGATGATGCAGGCCCTCCTGCAATCCAAGCCCGACCCAGCAGCACCTTCCCTTCTCCCTAGAGGAGAATTATCCAGGCAGCTCAGCACGTTTTCAATTTTCCCTTGGCTGAAATTTAACATTAATTTAGTCACTCAACTAGTTTGCCAAGTTGATCTGTTTTCCATGTGATTTTCAATTTCACACGTTTTTAACTGTCTGATTACTTTTTTAAAATCTTCACTTGAGGATATTTTTCCATTTATCTTCAGATAAAGTGGGAGAGAGAGAAAGAAAAACATCGATGTGAGAGAGACACATCGACTGGCTGCTTCCCGCACGACCCTAAGCAGGGTCGAGGACCCAATCGCAACTGAGGTACGTGCCCCTGACCAGAATTAAACTCAAAACTCTTTGGTCCTCAGGCCGATGCTCCAACTGCTGAGCCAAACTAACCAGGGCTACATTTTTTTTTTATTGTAAGCACTTCTAATTGTAACTAAAAACAACTTGTGATCTCCAAGAAGGTGAAAAGCAAAACACTTGCGCTTTTCCTGATGCCCGGAACACAATCAATTTCCCGCCACAGATACTCACCCATTAGACAAAGCGTATGGCATCCTTCTAAACTTTCACAGACATCACAGCATCGATCTTCATCTCTTAAAAATGTGATGAACTTACAAAGCATCTCGTGAGATTCTAAAATAGCAAGGCGCTGCAAACAATTGCAGACAGTTAAAGCGGAAGCTCACAGGAAGAATTTCTCACTAGAGCACAAACCTGACCACCTGCAGATCACCCCCCAGTAGCCAAACATGCTATGGATCACCAAGAAGAAAATGACCAAAGATGAGAACCCCTTTGGGCTACTGACCGAAGTGTGTCTACAATGGCTACTGATGTCGGAGGAAAATCAGGGGAAGAAGTGGGAATTAACAGAGAAAACATTTTATGCTCTAATTTCTAGGAAGAAAGGCAAAACTGGAATTGGGGGGACTCACAGGGCCCACTTACCTCAGGGGTCACTGTGCCGAGATGAGTCACAAGAGCTGGCACAGACATGATGTGGACGAGAAATGGCCGAATCAGATTGTCTGAAAACTGTGCAGCAACCACAGGGCTAGACACAGACAGATCACCTCACTTAGACAGGTTTGCATGAGAACCTACCCACCCTACCAACGCCCCCAAATCCCTTGAAATTATGCTCCACAGGACCTCTAGAAAGAATAAAGACTGAAAATGGGGATATCCACTAAGGGAATGATTAATGACAGTACAGTCATGTGACACAGCTATGAAAAATCAGTTTTGAAGTTTTACTGACATGAGAAAATGCTCAAGGTATATAATAAACTTAAAAGAAGAAGAAGAAGAAGAAACTATATACATCGGGGAGGGAGGTTTTAGAATGCTGGTGCTGTTGTTCTCTGTCTCAATTGGGGTGGTACTTACATGGGTGTGTTTACTGAGTGATAACTCACCAATAATTCATACTTCAATCAAGCTATTTTAAATATATATACAGTTGACCTTGAACAATATGGGAATTACAGGCACTTACCCCAATCCGCACAGTTGAAAATCTGCATATAACTTTTGATTCCCCAAACACTTAACTACAGTCATCTCTCAGCATCTATGGGGGATTAGTTCCAGGACCCTTGTGGATACCAAGATCCATGGATACTAAAATCCCTTATATAAAATGGTGTAGAACAATGCATACAGTAGAACAATACTTATGCGAATCCCCAACCCTGGATTGAAAACACATTACTGTTTTGGATCCATGGTTAGTTGAATCCGCAGACATGAAACCCGAGGATACGGAGGACCGAGTGTATATTTATTGAAAAAAATCTGAGTATAAGTGGATTCACGCAGTTGTTCAAGGGCTAACTTTATTATGACGTTAATATTTACATATGTATATATAAATACATAAATACATACAAATAAAAAAAGACCAGAGGACAGATAATAAAATGTTAACAATGTATCTCTGGGTTGTAGAACCATGAGAAACATTTTTTCTGCCTTATTCTTTTCTGTTTTATCCAGATTTTCTACAATAAGCATGTATTACTTCCATGATAAGAAAAAAGAAATACACATTAGATAAGATGATGACCTCAAATCATATACAACAAACATAAATGCTCGTTTTACACCTAAAACTATAAAACTCTTAGAAAAAAATGCAAAATGCAGGAGAAAATAGAAGCCATCCAGAAAAAAGAAAAAAAGAAAGAGAACTTATAGGAGAAAAGTGATCTCTTCTAGCTAATGTGCTCCAATAGCAATGACCAGATAAGTTACTATCAGAATTTATATTATAAACTTTTACTTTCAAGAATACTACTTTTGGGACAAGAAAATTTTATAATTCACCCCCCAGTAGCCAAACATGACATGTTCAAAATATAGATGCCTATGTCAACCACTTGTTTAGAAGAAGCTGACCAACCAAACTAAACTCACTGAGCTGAGTTGGACAAAAGAGAATTCTCTAAAAGAGAATCAAGTTATTTTCTGTATGTTGGGAAGAGGTTTAAATCAGGAGGAAACAATTCTGTAGACAAAGGAAAAGCATACCACAAGAGAATGCTACTGAAACTGTAACTCATCACTTCCCATTTCCAAGGGGACGACTGTATCATCACAGGGGCATGAGGGAAGATGCCTTCTCTGGAGGCTCTCACAGGAACCCAAGGATTCCACCCTGAGCCACACCCCCAAGTAACTCAGCCTGACCAATCAGGAGCAAGGCATCCAAGGGTGCTGTAAGGATGCAGCTGCCTTACAAGCCAGTCTCAAAAGATCAATCACACATACACACCAACAGTTTCCCTCAAATTCCTATTGTCTATTTCCCCAGCACGAGGTCATCAAAATCTTTCTTTAGCTGACTTGTAGTTGTTTCACTTACGTCCCCTCAGGTGACAAATTCTACAAATGTACCGCTAGTTGTACATTTAACAGGGCACACATCCATTTGGTTAAGCACAGCAGGGGAGGAGGATAAAAAAAGTTTAACGCATAGTCTCAGGCAACAGAGAGCTCATGCTGCAACCAGGGAGCTGGACAGGCACAGATAAATATGGAAACCAGGGCTAACAGGTACATGTACCTGGGTAAACAAGGGGCCCAGATAAGAAACAGAATAGGACGCATCTGGGAAGGTTCCCATGTACTATTATTTAAAGAAATATATATTGGGTTTTTTTTTAATCCTGAGGACATTTTTGCATTTATCTTCAGATAGAGTGGGAGGGGGGGAAGAGAGAGAGAGAAAAATTGATGTGAGAGCGACACAGCCTTCCAAACATTTTAAACCTCATTCTTTGCTGGCCCTTCTCCAGCTCTTAGTTGCCTTTATCAATGAAAAGTTCAAAAGTAGAAAGGATTTTATCTTGGCTCCTGGCTGACTGAAAGCTAAAGCATTCATGGGTACAGATAGACAAGAAAAAGAACAGTCACAGACGTGCCCCTTTCACCACGACCAATACTTCCTGTAAATGTGGACCAAGTGGGCAAACCCATACCTAATCCGAGTAACAAGAGAAAAGAGAAGCAAGAGGAGGAAGCCTTCAGAAGCATGCCAGCCTCTCCGTAAGTCAGTTTCCTACTTACCGTAACGCCAGAGAAAAGGCCGCAGTTAAAGTGCCTTTGGACAGACAAGGCCGGGGTCTCGCCAGGCCACGGGTTAACAATATCTGGAGAGAACATTTTAACTGGTCAGGGAACAATGTCAACGTTGTATTCATTTGTTCATTAAAAAAAAGAAGCATAAAAGTAAAATGAGTGCCTCAGATAAAAAAACTATATTGGAATGTTTTTTAAAATGAGGGGAGAGAAAAGTAATGGGTTTGGAGGTTCATTATACCACTCCCGTACCTTTAAATGATATGTTTAATTTTTAAAATAAAAAGCAGTTAAAAAAAAAATTAACAACTGAGCCCAGGCCAGTTTGGCTCAGCGGTTAGAGCGTCAGCCTGTGGACCAGAGACCTGGGTTCGGTTCCCACTAGGGGCACATACCTCAGGTGCAGTTTGTCCCCGGCCCCGGTTGGGGTTATGTGGGTGGCAACCACTCGATGTGTCTCTCTCACATCGATGTTTCTCTCTCTCTTCCTCCCTCGTTCAAAAAATAAATAAATAAATAAATAAAAAGACCAGACTTAAAATTCTAAGACAGCCCTGGCCAGTTTGGCTCAGCGGTTAGAGCGTCGGCCTGCGGTCCGGAGAGACCCGGGTTTGGTTCCCGCTAAGGGCGCGTACTTCGGTTGCAGTTTGGCCCCGGCCCTGGTTGGTCATGTGGGTGGCAGCCACTCGATGTGTCCCTTCACGTCGATGTTTCTCTCTCTCTCTCTCTCCTTCCTCTCTCTCCCTCCCACTCTATCTGTACAAAAAATGGAAAAATATCCTCGGGTGAGGATAAAAAAAAAAAAAAAAAAAATTCTAAGACAGGTTAGAGTTTTGCAGCCATTCCGGGTTATGGTTCAAGCACACACTTCCTCACTGAGATAACTGTTGACACCGTCACCTTTGGCCGTCACACCACCACACAGGGCTGTGGTGAGGAGAAAATGAAGCCATCTCAGTGCCAGGCAAAGGGAAGGGCTAAATCAAGGTCAGTTCTCACACTCAAGAGCTCCCAAGTACTCCTACACGCCCCTAGGCTGCTGACCGTCCCTTGGGCTGTGGGCTGGCACGAGAGGTGCAGTGTGCAGAGGCTGCTGGGGGACACGCGGTAGAGTGTTAACTCCGGACACCAACAAGGAGCCAGAGGGAACAAGCCCGAGGCCTCCTCCCTCAGTTTCAATGTCAAGTGCCTGGATGACACCTGTAGCCAAAGATATAGCGCATTAAAGGGATCCTGGGACCACTGCCTCCTTCACACAAACTGCAGGTGACCCAGGCAGGGGGAGGGAGGAGAGAACACTGAGCATTAAACTCTTCCTGCAAAGTGTTTCTGTGAGGAGGGCACCCACTATGCCAAAACCAAACATAAAAATCCAAGTTCAGGTTTGGAGAGTGAGGGTACATATTAGGGGATGGGGATCACAGACCTGCAGCACAGAATAAAGTCCACGCTGGTTGAGGTGTCCCATTATATTTGCACAAATGTGGTTCATGGCTGGTCGAAGATTCTCACCTAAATAAAGAAAAAAGTCTGAGGGGGAAAAAAAGACACATCTCTGGCCATAATATGAACTGTTAAGGTGGGACAGAAAATCACGCCCCAGGCCCAGGGCCACAGGAAACGAGATGCTTGCCTGCCACTCCCCGTAGGTCTGGGACCAGAGTACTCAGAGGCCGCACATTTGAATTCTCTCTCCCGGAAGGCCTGGCTCAAGTGTCACTTCTCAGTGATGGGGCCCAATGTTCCCCTGGACAGAAGGAACGGCCCCGGCCTCTTGGCTCCTGGAGCACCTTTCCCAATGCCCGCTGAGGACCTGGCACTTTCTATTCTCCGTGGCTGCCTCCTCTATCCAATGAGATACAAGCTCCTGGCAGGGCACAGAACTCACCGTATTTTAAATCCTCTCCAGAATCTAGGATGATGCCTTAAAATAAAGCCTCCTTCCTGACCTGGGGCCTCTGCACATACAGTTTCCTTGGCTTTCAGAGTTTTGTTCCTCCTCTTCACTCTGTGCCTCTCCCTTTCCCCCAGCTCTAAGCTCAGACACCATGCCTGCAGGAAGGCCCGAGTCCCAGACAGAGCAAGGCAAGGCTGTCCCTACCCCACGAAACTCTCATTTCTCTTGTACTCTTCCTTCTGAGCACGTCTCACACTGTGGCTGTGATACAAGATGGGCAAGTGACTTCTCTTTAATATCTGTCCCCCCACCCAACTCTAAGTTCTGTGAACAGCAGTCCAGCAGGCAAAGCCCCAGGGTGGTGACCTCCTCTGGGTCTGCAGTGCCTGCAGGGTTTATGGCACACAAAGGGCTATCTGTTGAATAAATGAAGTGACTGTATAAAAAACATAAAGCTGCCCTGGCTGGTTTGGCTCAGCAGTTAGAGCATCAGCCAGTGGACCAATGAGCCGTGGGTTCGGTTCCAGTCAAGGGCATGTACCTCAGTTGTGATTCATTCCAGGGTTGTGCGGGAGGCTCTCTCACATCGATGTTTTTCTCTCCCTCTCTCCTTCCCACTCTATCTGAAGATAAATAGAAAAATATCCTCGGGTGAGGATTAAAACAAACAAACAAAAAAGCATAAAGCTAAGTGTAAAGTGCAGAAAAGGAGGCAGCATTACAATGCAAATTTTATGGCCAAAAGAGAATTATTTGCTGCCGAATGATTCGCCAAATGAAATGACAAGGCTTATTTAATAAGCAACTATTATCACTTGGTGCTGTGGAAGTAATAAAAAATAAGATCAGAGGAATCGTGGCTTTAAACATAAATTAGAAAAAGGGAGAGACTATAACACATGACACTGAACATATTCTGGACAACACAGTGCAACCTGACGGGAAATGCCAAGGGCACTTTGTTTGCATGGTCTCGGGGCCTTCCCTGGGGCTTTTGATGGCAAAAATGCTCCTTACAAAGTTGAAAAGGTGTCCAAGCTCTGCTACTTAGGAAAGATTTTGAAGCAAGTCCCACAGACCTTTTCCCCGGAGAATTTTCCATGTTGAAGCGTCTGTGAATGTGACAAGCATCGTGAGGTACAGTGTGACAAGTTTGGAGTCTTGTAAGATTTCAGGCTGAAAACAATGAAGAGAATGAGATTAAGACACACGCCCCCTAATCCCAGGCAGTGAAGCAACTATTCTCCAACTCTTCTGAGTGCACTTAGGCTCAAGTGAGTCAGGGTTATAAGTATTTTCTTTGTCTTTTTCTCTTGGGGAATGATTCCTGAGGGGAGCTAAATGACAGGGATTTTGACCCACTAGTGATTGACAATGGAATCTAAGTACTTCTGGGAGTGGAGAACTGAGCACCCTGGAAAACAAGGTGACCAGCACTGGCCTGCTGGTTTTGCATGCACTTAGGAATATATGTGTAATCATACGTACACAGGAGGTACAGAGTGGAAATGCAATTGAGCACAAAAGGGACCCTCAGTTCAGACTTCTGCATTTACCACTTCCTAGCTCTGTGACCTTGGGCAAGTTTCTTAACCTTTCTGTGCCTCATCTTCCTCATCTGTTGACTAGGGATAGTATGGTTGTGCAAGGAATAAACAATTCAGGTATATAACAGTAAGAACAGTGCTCTGCACAAAGAGAACCCTATGTAATACTGGCTGTTATTATACATTGTTTCACAAGAGCTGGTTGGGGAAAAGGTCTGATATCTGTCTAGGCTCAGAGAACTTTCAGCATGTACACCTGCAAGGGACCCTGGAGACCATCGAGTTCAAACCCCTAAGCTCACAGAGAATAAGAGACGGGAAATGACTTGTTCAAGGCCACACAAAAAATCAGCAGCAGAATCAGGACTTAATTCAGATCTTCCTGGCTCCAGATCCAGTGCTCTTTTCTCCTAATATGTGTTTCTTTGCATAAACTTAAAAAAAAGTTCTTTTCGCCCTGGCCGGTTTGGGTCAGCGGTTAGAGCGTCGGCCTGCGGTCCCGAGAGACCCGGGTTCGGTTCCCGCTAAGGGCTCGTACTTCGGTTGCAGTTTGTCCCCGGCCCTGGTTGGTCGTGCGGGTGACAGCCACTCGATGTGTCCCTTCACGTCGATGTTTCTCTCTCTCTCTCCCTTCCTCTCTCTCCCTCCCACTCTATCTGTACAAAAAAAAAAAAAAAAAAAAAGTTCTTTTCAAAGCAGAAGCTCTTCTCCTCAAAGAGAGATGTGTGGAATGCAAACATAGGAGCAGATAAAAGCGCAGACCAGCGCTCTGTGCCATAATGCCTCCCTCACCTGACAAGCTGGGTTGTGGCTGGCTGCTGGGCAAGGCCAAGAGAGCCATCCACCAATGCCTCGAGGGAGCTGGCTGGGAACAGGTCACCAGGAGCTCTGCTGACATTCGCTCAGTCACTCAGCTGCTACCTGAGTCCTTGTCAAGCCTCTGCCCTGAAACTTCTCCCCCCTTATGTGCAAAGTGGAAGGGGCTGCTGTTTGCATCCATTCACACCTCTGCCCACCTTCTCATAACACAAGGGTGGGCACAAGACCAGGCTGGGCCAATGGCAGTATCCCATCTCACTCGCTACTGGGACCAGTTAAGGGTTGAGACCAGGGTCTCACAGGGTCTTTATGAAACCTCGCAGATTTTGAACTGGTGTGGGGAGTCACCCTTTCCTCTTGTCAAGACAGAGTAAGAATGTGAGGCCAGAACTGCTGGCTTCCAGGATTATAGCAGAAGAAGACAAGGTGACTCCAAAAGGCTCTAGAGATGAGAGAAAAGAATGAGGGGGAGAATCCAGAAGCCCCTGGCTCTAGTTATCTCCAGTCACCATGTTACAGAACATGTTCTATGACAAAATATTCTCTTTCTCACTTAGCTTGTGCATATTCTTAACTATTGGTTTCTGCACTTGTAACAAGAGGTCTGACTGGTATAATCATATAAACTATAAAGTATCCATTATATCAAAAGTATGGGAGGAAGATGACAGATTCGCTGGAATCGAGACTGTAGCAAGTACAGATCAATGTTGTAAATCAAAATACTGTAAATCAAAGAAGGGCTCATGTTGGTAATAGAATCTAACTTGCTCTCTCCCAGAATAGGGGCTCTAATAATTGTTTACTAGACTGACTGATAGATCTCCAAAGGCACAACCCATGAAGGAAAATACATACTAAAGGCCCCAAATGGGGAGAATATATTTACAGTGTTTCATTTTTACCTTGAGCTGCTCAAGAAACTCACAGCAATGCCACAGAATGTCCTTGATTTGTTTAATCCACAAGAGCGTGAGATCCTTGGAAAGAGCCAGGGACACATACCACACCTACAAGCAGGAGAAAGAGAAATGTAATGGGCAGTTACAAGGATCAAATTACTTATGTTCTAACTACTGGCATGGGACCAATTAGCTAGGTCCAGTGCCAGATAGGGCAGTGAGGATCAAGGGACAAATAAGCAGCCAATAAGACTTGTGTGAACACTAAATCCATTCCACTTACCTTGGGTTCATTCTCAGCATCCATACTGCTCAGGATGCAGCGGCACAACTTTTCAAATCTCTGCAAAGAGGCAGAATGGGGGTTGTAAGTTCCCGCAACTCATAAAACATGGGAAAGATGCGAATGTTTGGTGGGTACCTGGCATGTGCAGGCATTATGCCAGAAGACTCACACACATGATCATTTTAAATTCCTTCTTACAAATGTGGGAACTGAAGATCAGAAGGCTAAAGAAGGGCTCTCAAACTGGTGGCCCACTGGCTCGATGAATCCTACATTCTTTTTCTCCTACATTTCTTTCAGAAATTGGTATATTTCATATAAAAGTCCAGATTGGGGCTCCTTTTGAAAAACAAAATCAATCTGGCAAGCTGGGCTTGGATTCCTGTCGCCTAGCAGCTATCTCCTAAATCATGCTCTCCTGTCTGCCATTTTGTAAGCATCATGGACACTGACTTTTGCCTCACAGACTGTTTTATCATTATTTTTATCTTGAAATGCAAAACGAAAAAAGTGGAAGCTGGAAACCAGACTCCACTGTGGCAATACCAACCCTGGATCCACCCTTAAAGTGGTATGGTCCTTGGCAGCCACCCAATCATTCTGAACTACAGTTTCCTCCTCTGAAAATGGGGGTCACCTCACTGAGCCTGCCTGGCCTCATCTAGGTGACCGTGTGTTCACTGCCAGTGTACTCCTCCCTCTTCTGGGCTCCGGGATTTCTAGGGTAGAGACCTTGCCCACTGTGTTTCCTTCTGGAGCCCCAGCGCCTGGCAGAGGGTCTGGCGTGATGTGGGACTTAGCAATGATGAATGAGTGATGCCTGATCACACAGAGGCATTCCTCAGTGGCATCATGAGCACTGTGACAGATAACTAGCTGTTCCCTGGAATTATATTTTCTGGGCTAATTCTAATCCTAAAGGTACAACCAGCATGTTTTGTTTGTTTTGCAGGATTTGTAAGAAATTAGAAATTAGCTACCAATTTTTACAAATTAGAAAACAGAGCATAAAGAAGTCCAGAGTCCACCAATGGCTGAAGCTGAGTAGAGGCTGTCCCCTCTGGATGGGCATGCCACAGACCCCATCACTCCCTCTGATGTCCTTACCACCACTGTGAGTTACCATTTATTATGACTTGTATTATGTTTTATCTCATAAATGGCTTTTTTTCACTCATTTACCTAACCTGCCTGGCTCCTGTGTGTATCTGAGTCAACAAATTCTTGGAAGGGTCGATGAGAAAAGAATTGTGAGGAGGTTCAGAAGCAATGGGTGTAATCCCTGCAAAACAGGTTCCAAGAAGACAAAAGGGCTGAATATGGAAGTAACAGAGAGTTGCTATCTCAGAGAATTGCTGTAAGGGTTAAATGACTTAATATTTAGAAAAGACCTGGCAGACAGTAAGTACGATGTATGTTTGCTATTATTATTTTACCTCATTATCCTCTTTAATTCTGAATAAGAACAGCAGTTTCCTGGCAATCTTAAAAATACAAAGTGCACTTCTTTTACTGGACCCAGAGTCATCTGCTTTAAAAAACTCATCGATCTCTCTCCTAAGGGAGGGAAGGGTAAAAAAAAAAACAGAAAAAAAACCACATGTTTAATTAGGAGTTCACAGCAGCTGGAAGGCTTTTAAAACACTGTATGAGAAAATGCCTTTTTTTCTTGCTATTAATTGGGAGCAGGAGAAAACGTGCAGAGGAATTCCTGGCATCTACCTGATTTCTCTCTGCAGTCGATTCCGACAGAGAAAACTCCGGACATGGGCCTGAATCCCAATGGCTGCCCGCTCCCGCTCCTTCTGCACAAGCCTTTCCTCTCGAGCCTGCCGGGCTCTATCGATGAACCATGCTCTCGAGGTCTGGGAAACGGTGAACATGTTTGCAAACTTGCACAAACCCTGCAAGGAAAATGGCAAGTGGTTGGTGTAGATGATTATATGAAAAACACACACTGAAAAGGGCTCAAGAGCAAAGGGTGGGCAGGGATGTGGGCAGCAGCAGAGAGCTACTCAAGGCTCTCCAGCACCTTCTAAAGTGCTAATAGCTCTCCTGGCACAAGTCCCAACTTCCTATCGGCTCTTTTCATGCAATTCACCAAGAGCAGCGATGCTTTTTCCTGTATTAAGTAATTACATTTTCTTAAGGGAGAGAGTACAGTGTGTAGCATAGGGTATGGGTTCTGTAATTGTTTAACAAATGAACAAAGCATGACTCGATCCCATCCATAAAGCTCTAATGCAAACCAGGCATCCTCTAAGTCAAAGGTTCCTAGATATTTGAATTTTCTGGGGCAGTCCACAATATATGGGAAGCCAACACCAAGGAGTTCACTTTTATTTTGCCAAGACTTGAGGGAAAAACCAAACATGAGTATCTACCTTGAGCCCAGCACTAAGAAAGCCTTTCATTTTTTAAAGGGTCATTTTAACACTAAAAAAGCCAAAGGTACATGATTCCAGAATGCAAGACAATCCATTAAATTGAATAAGTTTTGTTTTATGTGTAACTTATTCTGTTATTTAGAGCACAGCTGCTCCCATCCACTGACTGGAACTTTTTGGATAGAGGCTCTAAATTATCCATTACACTTAAAAAAAAAAACCCTCACCCAAGAAAAAAATAAAAAATAAATATATATATATATATATATATATATATATATTTTATGCAAGAGTGAGGAACAGAGAAACATCGATGTGAGAGTGAAACACTGATTGGTTGCTTCCCATATGCAACCTAATTGGGGATTGAAACCGCAACCCAGGTATGTGCCCAGACTGGGAATAGAACCCATAACAAACTGAGCTACCCGGCCAAGGCTCCATTACACATTTTTTTTTCTTTTCTCGTTTATTTTAATCTTCACCTGAGGATATTTTTCCATTTATCATCAGATAGAGTGGGAGGGAGGGAGACAGGGAGGAAGGGGAGAGAGAGCGGATGGGGGAGGGAGAGAGAAACATTGATGTGAGAGAGGCACATCAACTGGTTGCCTCCCACACGACCCTGACCAGGGTAGGGGATGAACCTACCCTGTGCCCTTGACCGAATCGAACCCATGAGTCATTGGTTTGCAGGCCAAGGCTTTATTTTATTTTATTTTATTTTTTAATTTTTTCTTTATTGGTTTGAGAGAGAGAGGAAGGGAGACGGAGAGAGAGATAGCAACATCAATGAGAGAGAACATCGACTGGCCACCTCCTGCATGCCCCCCACTGGGGATCGGGTCCACAACCTGGGCATGTGTCCTGACCGGGAATCGAACCAGCCACCTCTTGGTGCATGGGTCAACACTCAACCACTGAGCCACACCGGTCGGGCTGGGCCAACGCTTTAAACACTGAGCCAAACCAGACAGGGCTCCATTACACATTTTTATCTCAATCACCAGTAACTCTTTTCCCAAAGGGATGGCTTTGGCTAGCAGACTAGAGTACACAGTACTGGTCCATGGAACCTACTGTACTGAAATGATTTCTTTAGATGCATGATAACTTTGTCATTCTATCCAAAATATGTAATCAGCTCAGCTGACAAAAGCACTGAAATGAATTATTCATAAATCCAGACTTCTAGATAACAAGCTCTTTACGAGGTTACTTCACTCAAAGCCGCATCTATATGAAAACATCATCAAGAATAAAATGCTTGCCCTTCACCAGTGTTGCTAAGTGGTTAGAGCATTGGCCCTCGCACCAAAGTGTCTCAGGTTTGATTCCTGGTCAAGGGCACATACCTGGGTTGCAGGTTCAATCCTCGGCCCCAGTCAGGGCGCATGAGGGAGGCAACCAATCGATGTGGATCTCTCATATTGATGTTTCTCTCGCTCTCGCTCTCTCCACCCAACCCCCTTCCACTCTCTGAAAATCAATGGAAAAAAGCATCTTCAGGTAAAGATTAACAAAAAAAAATTTTAAAGGATAAAAGGCTCATGGAAGGCTCCTCCATGTCAACATATTGAGGGACCTCTGTGGCCCCTTTCAACACTGCTTCACAACTGTTAAATAAGTCTTTTTCAACATGAGTGTTTCTTGTCAGTAATTCTCAAAAAAAAAATGAACAAAGTCCACCTGATCACAGGAGGGAGGGTGAGGAGACTGGAGAGAAAAGGTCTTCGGAATCCTTCACTCCTTCGGCCCTGGCGGTGGAAGTCCAGGGAGCTCACCTGAGGACCTGCCTGTGTCGCAGAAATGCCAAGTGATCATCAGTGAGCTTGCAGAAGACTCAGCCAAGGGCAGCTTCTCACTTCAGAAGAGCTTGTCTTCTCTGGCAGAGCGAAAGAAGAAAAATCCAGATTTAGGGTTCAGTTCTATAGGCGGAGCATCATTCACCTTCCTTACTGAGTAAAAGTAATGAATACAGTGCCTCTGGTTTAAAAAACACCACCACCACCGTTTTCTTTAATGTCTGGTCTAAATGTAAAACTTTATCTCCACAGCCCTCCCAGTTTAAAGGGAATTGGTTGAAAATACAGTTGACTCCTGAACAACACAGGTTTGAATTGCATGGGTCCACTTATACAAGGATTTTTTCCCAACAAATAATGTAAATGTATTTCCTTTCCTTTATGATTCTTAACGTTTTATTCTCTAGTTTACTTTATTGTAGGAATACAGTATATATGTGACATACAAAATGTATGTGTAATCGATTGTTTGTGTTATCAGTAAGGTTTCCAGGAAACAGTAGGCTCTTAGTTCAGTTTTGAGGGAATCAAAAGTTATATGTGGATTTTCAACTGCGAAAGGGGGTCAGTGTCCCAACCCCTGTGTTGTTCAAGGGTCAACTATAATCCCAAAGAAGTTATTAAAGCTTTACATGCTTTATGATGTAAACAAGAATAACATAGGAGATAGAATGTTAAAAAGCCACTGAACATAATGTTTGACATTTTTAACAATATTGAAAAATATGTATGCCTAAGAAATTGTGTGAACTGGTATGATTCCAATTACATGAAAAAAAATGCATATGCACACAAAGACAAAAAAAAAACTGGGGGAAAAAACACCAGCATGTTGAATGAGAGTGGTTGTTTTGAGAGAGTGAAATTGTGGGAAATTTTGCTTCTTTAACTGGTCTGATTTCTAAGTTTTCCACAGAAAGCTCATGGGGAGGCATCATGGTACTGAGAGGCACTCCCTAGCTCTGCCATGTACTGGAGGGTGATGTCTCAGAGCCTGTTTTCCTTCATTAATTGGCTCAGAGGCCAATCATGAAAACTAAATGAGATAAAGTACATCAAGTACCTACTAAGGTGGTTGACAGAGCAGAGTCAATAAGTCTGATGTATTATTTTATTTTATTTTTTTAATCCTCACCCGAGGATATGTTTATTGATTTTAGAGAGGGAGGAAGGGAGAGAGAGTATCCATTGGTTGCCTCCTATACGTGCCCCAACAGGGGATTGAATATGCAACCTAGGTATGAGTCCTGATCGGGAACGAACCCACAACCTTTCTGTGTACAGGACAACACTCCAACCAACTGAGTCACCCAGTCAGGGCTAATGTACTATTTTTATAGACACAAAGTTTTTATTTTTATTTTGAAGTGTTTAGTAGAGGCTCCTATCTAACACTAAGGTCCTTGGCGTAGGAAATAATGTTGGGACTCTCACATTCCTCACTCATTAGATTTTTTCCTGCTCCTGGGTACACTAAGATTCACTAGTCCTGTCACATGGACAATGAACCCCTGGCCATTTACAATGGGTAATAGCTTCATATGAGAGCTGCAAAAAAGCTGGGCCCAAGCCACAAGCACAGTGGTATGCTCTTTCCTTAACATGTTGATAGTCCCTGATATGTGGGGGAGGGGGAAAAGGAGCAGAAGAGGGCCTTATAGCAATTGAAAATTAGGAGGCTGCACCAAACTGTAACTAAGTACCTGTAAGACTATAGCAAGTCCCTGATTAATACTGTCTATAGATTACTGGAATTGGGTCAAAATGACATAAAATGAAACCAATTTTACCATAGGCTAATTGATATAAACAAGAGTTAAGTTCCTACAGCATCTCATCAATGTTATAATGAAATGACATCAGCGAAACAACATTATTTGAGGACCTGTTGTATCTCAAACTTTAATTTCTCCCAGGATACAATCCCTTCCTTGAGATCATCATCTCCTCGCAATGTTATATGTTGGTTTCTGTTTACAACATGTATTAGTCTGTACTTTGCAGTTTATCCAATTCTTTTTTATTCACCTCCTCTACCTGTATTGTGTATACTATAATTCATCAATAAAACACATCATGAAGTCTGTATGAAGTGCTTATGCTGCTAAATGACAGTAAGAACCAAAGAAAAGGCTGTAGCAGATAAAGCTTCGGATTGGCCAAAGTAGTCCTTGGTTCTCTTTAGTTCTGATTTTACTTCATTTGGCCAAGTTATTTACCCTCTTAAGGACTCATTTTCCTTATCTATAAATAGAGGATAATAATAGTAAGGTACCTACTTCCTAGGGTTACTGAAAGGATTAAACAAAACTTTTACCCTTCTTATACTTCAATTTAGTCATCATGACACTGTAATTAGCATTAAGTGAGACGATATTAATAAAAGCACCTGGAAATAAATAGCACATTAGTGGGCTTTACTGTTTTGTCCTTAAGCAACTTACAATCCAGTTAGGGAAAAACAGTGACACGGGAGGGAAGATTAGGAAACAAGAGGTTGGTGATAATCATATGAAAAAACAAAAGGAAAACATGTTGCTTGAGTACTCATTATGGGCCAAGTCCTTACTAAGTGATCTCCTCTAATAAGAACAGCAACCCTGTGAGATCATTTAGCATGTCCTATAGCCCAGGTTAGACCACTAGTTAGGGTCAGAGACAAACTTTTTTTTTTTTTATCCTCACCCGAGGACATTTTTCCATTTTTTTGTTCAGACAGAGTAGGAGGGAGAGAGAGGAAGAGAAAAACATCGACGTGAAAGGGACACATGGAGTGACTGCCTCCCGCATGACCCAACCAGGGCCGGGGACAAACTGCAACCGAGGTACGTGCCCTTAGCGGGAACCGAACCCGGGTCTCTCTGGACTGCAGGCTGAGGCTCTAACCGCTGAGCCAAACCAGCCAGGGCCAGAGCCAAACTTTTAATACAAAGAGACAGGACGTAGACTTTCCTTGACTTCAATATTCCTGTGAGAACTGCTCAAAATCAATCTTTTCTGGATAAGGCCAACTTCATGGGGAACTATGAAAGAGCAAGAGAACCCAGAGAGTATTGTTCAAAGGTGAAGCAGCAAAAATACTAACTGCTGACTGAGCCCAAAAGGATTCTCCCTCCCTGTATGGTGGGAATAGCGGGGCAGCCAGGTTTACTGTCCACCACAACCTAGGTGCCTGCTATTATCAATCTCACCTTTACAGGGAGAAAATGAAATGCGGGGAGGGCATAGGACTTGTCAGAGGTCCCTAGGCTCAAGTCTAACTCCAAAGCAATTATTTGTTAATGAAACACACAAGACCCAGAGAGTTCCACACTCACAGAACAGTAGGGAAAAGCTGAGAATGCAAGGTTGCCCGTGGGGCTAGGTTAGAGTCAACTGTCAACAAGACTTTCCTTCCTGATATCATGAACTCCAGCCGCCTTTATTGACAGCCGAGCGTCTGGCACGATCCTGAAACTCGTATTATACAACAACAACATCCTCTGTGAGACGAGCTAATTACGCCATTTCCCAGAGGAGGAAACTGAGGCTCAGAGAGGTGAAGGGACTCACCCCAAGTCACACAGCGAGAAGGTGGGATGCGAACTCCGGTTTCGGGGACTCCTAAGCCCCGGCGTCTTTCCTCGGCATCAACAACCACAATAACAAATCTTCTCCACCCAGCGTTAGTACGTTTACAAAGGCCCAGAAATGAAAAGAGAAGGAAAAGGCGACCGAGACCACCCTGAAGCGCGAAAGCCAGCCGCTAGCACCTGCCACTCGGACCAGGTGGGGCAGGGACCCGGCCCCACGGCTACCTCTCTTAATGTCCCCGGCCCCACCACCCGGTGAACCCACCACCCTGTTCCCACTCGCTACCAGCAGGCCGCAGACCTTTATCCGCTCGAGGCCCCCGCGTTCGGGGTCGGAGCCGCAGCTACTGTCGCCTCAGCCCAATACACCTGAGCTCTGCCGAACCCGGGGCAGCGATCGAGACTCCACCGCCATCTTGCCCCGGGGTGTTCTTTCTCAGAGCTCCGCCGGGAAACAACTATCCAGTTCCGGCCAACGACAGTTCCGCAGAGGTTCTCCGCCCTGGAATGACAACCTCCCTGAGTCTTTTCCTCTTCTCTGGAAGCTGAAAAAGCGGAGAATTCAGGAGCAGGATAATTGCCTGACCCAGCCGAGAGGAGACGCAACCGATTCCAGCCAGGCATGTTGGAAAGAACACGGCCAATGTCTAGGAGTACAACGGATCCTTTAGGAAAGCGGCCTCTGCGGGGCGGAAGTGGGGTACGGACAGCGGAAGTTCCCGCCCCGGCCCCGCCTCCGCCCCTGGCGCACGCGAGCTGGGTGTTTCCTGCCTCTTTCAGCCCGGGTTTGGAGACTCCGGCGTCCTCCGACTTTTCATGGTAAGGAGGGCGGTGCCCACCGATTGGGAGCTTTGGGCGGCCGAGAGAGCCGGGCAGAGCCAGAGTAAAGAGGGGGAAGGACCGACAGAAGGGGCTGTGATACGGGGCTGTCGCGATAGGGATGAGGCTGGGGGAATAGAATGGGGGCGAGGCCGGGGGTGGGGGAAGGGCACTGGGTAGAGAACTGGGGGGTGGGGGGGTGGTCCCCTGGCTGTTGGAAACCCAGGAATGGACATTTGGGCCTGGGGAGTAGGTGATGTGTATGGGTGTGTGTGTGGCGGGGGGTGTCTCAGAGTCTCGAGTGCTTGTTAGAAATGGGGATTGGGGATTGTGAGGAGAACAAAGAGATGTCATCGAAGACGGACGTTTGGGGTGGAAAACTAGGGTTTGGGGAGTTGTGAAGGAGAATGGGTAGGTTATGAGAGGGCGAAGTGGGGTTCCTTGGGACAGCGAGTTTTGGGTTTGGGGAGGTTGTAACAGGAGTCTCCGGGTTTCGGGGAAGTGGAAAGGGGCTTCCAGGCGCGTCTGAACACCCAGGCAAGTGGAGGGAGAAGCAGAGGGAGCCGGGGGCGGGTGGGCGTTGGGTGCTGGGAACCATGCCGAGAGATGCCAGGAGCCTGAGGTCAGGGTGCCTGCGCCACGGAGTCCAGCGACTTGACTGGTGCCTGGGTACCTATCTAGTCACTTCCTTTGAGGCCCGGGGTAGCCACACCTCAGGGGTTGGGGATTTCTCACGTCCAGTCTCCCAGCTGTGGGAAGTTGCCATGTACCTTAAAGAGCTTTTTGTCTGTGGATGGGAATGAACAAAGTTCAGCCCAGACTCTCTTTTTACTTATTCGCCAGCTTGAAAGTGCAGATTATAGGGAAGATCAGCCCCAAGGACACTGCTGAAGAAAAATGAGTCAACCCGTATCTGAGTTTGGTCTGCCCTAGTTTGTGTCAAATAAGGACTACCTGAGGGGAAGGAGGTATTAAACCAGTGGTTCTCAAACTGGTCCCTAGACCAGCAACATCAGCTGGAACTTATTAGAAATGGCCAAATTTTCAAGACCTACCACAGACTATCAAATCAGTCTGGGGTGGTGCCAGCAGTTGTTTTAACAAGCCGTGAAGGGAATTAAAACAATGATTTCTTTGCAACCCAGCCGGTGTGGCTCAGTGGTTGAGCGATGACCCATGCACCTAGAGGTCGCCAGTTCGATTCCAGGTCAGGGCACATGCCCAGGTTGTGGGCCCAATCCCCAGTGGGGGGCATGCAGAAGGCGGCCAATCAATCGATGTTCTTTCTCATTAGATGTTTCTATTTCTCTCTCTTTTCCTCTGTCTCTAAAATAAAAAAATAAAAAAATTTATTTAAAAAAAACAATGATTTCTTGATTTGGACTATATAATTGAAAAGGCATGGGAGTGGGAGCCAGAGGACCTTAATAATTCTGATTGTTAATTTTCTCCTCTAAAAAGTGGGATTGATGACAACATTTTCCTCACTAGACTGTTGAGAGAAGCAGGCCAATAGTTTGTGCGCAGCGGTAGCTGTTCTATAGGTTTTGGATGCAAAATAATGTGACACTTATGTGGCCGATTGAATTTAATTTGGTTGAAATGGAGCCACAGACTTTTCTAAGTTGTAGAAATGCCCTCAGTTCGGAGGAAGTTGTGTAATTAGCATCAAGCAGTGCCTCTTAGATCTAGCTGGTTAAAGAAACATGTTAGCTTTGTGGCTCTCAGCTCTGGCCACACATTAGAATCACCTAAAGAACTCTGGTGTCTGAGCTGCCACACTCCTCCTTTCCCCTCCCCAAGTTTGACTACTTGTTTTGGGGTGAAGTCCAGGCATTAGAACTTTTTAAGCTGATTCTAGTACAGCCAGGGCTATGATCTGTGGTCTTAAGGGAAGCTTGAGGGGCAGAAGGAAAACAACACTAAAAACCAGGTGCCAAATAACTTTAACATTTACACCCTGCGGGCTATTTTGAAGACTGTGACTTTAAACTTCATTTTACAAGCTAGAAAACTGAGGCTCAGTTAAATCACTTGTCTGAACATCACCCAGGACGTAGTGAAACTGAACTGCCATCCCGGTTTACCGAACTCTTGATCAAACCTTCCACACACATTTCCTCCAACACACATATAAGGGAGACAGTTCTACAGAGAAGTTGTATAGAAAACATCTATGGGTATTTATCTATTTTTTTTATCCTCATCCGAGGACATTTTTGCATTTATCTTCAGATAGAGCGGGAGGGAGGGAGGGAGGAAGAGAGAGAGAGATACATCAAGTGGTTGCCACGCACAACTGGGGCAGGGACAAACTGCAACTGAGGTATGTGCCCTTAGTGGGAACCGAACCTGGGACTCTCTGGTCCATGGGCTGATTAGAAACTGCCCATGCTCTAACTGCCAGGTCAAACCGACCAGGGCTTAAAATATTTTTTTATTGATTTTTTTTTAAGAGAGAGAGAGAAGAAACATCAATGTGAGAGAGAAACATTGATCAGCTGCCTCCTGCACGCCCCCTAATGGGGATGAAGCCTGCAACCAAGGCATGTGCTCTCACCGGAATTAAATCCAGACCTCTCAGTCCATGGGGTGATACTCAATCTACTGAACCACACTGGCCAGAACTGACTTTTATTTTTTAGGCATGCATACAGTTGCTTCCTGTTTGTGGCTCTGAAGTTGTAAACTAGGGGCTTGCTTTTGTTCATGGCGCTTTGGTTTGTTTTTATGTGTAGTCAGGAATTCACTGAGATCAACTTCTCCAAGACCATGAAGTTAATTGTAGCCAAACTTTTTAGAACTGTGGGTTGTAATCCTGGCTGCACATTGGAATTACCTGGGGGACTTTTAAAATTTCTGGTGCCGGTGCCACAACTCCAGCCCCGTTACATCAGAATTTCCATGGGTAGGACCCAGGCATCAGTATTATTTTAAACTCCCCAGAGGATTCTGATGGGCAGCCAAGTACAGGGCCACTGTTTCTAATCAGCAACAGTATACTCAGGAGATGGAAAAGAGAGAAACCCTGACGTATCCATCTAACTGGAATACACTTCTATTCTGATTGAATGGAATCGGTAACCAATACCTCCAGTATTAATTACCTCTCTGTTTCTTGTAACCAACTTTGCTCTCTCCTGTCCCACCTCCCTACCTCATTAAAAATGAAATCAGACCTTTGAAACAAGTTAAAAAGCAGAGTGGCTGGGGAGTCCTCTGTGGAGGGCTTCACTCTGAGAGGCTTATTGTCTCCTGCTTTGTGTCCTCAGCTCACTGCAACAGGCTCTGGGACGTGAACACAGCCAGACCTTCTTTCCTAGGGCCTCTCCTAGTGTTGAGGTGACCGGCCTGTGGAGGAGTGAGCCCCGGAAAGGGCCAGAGCTTTCTTTGTCTATTTTGGAGTCTCAGTCTAGATCCGGATGGTTTTTGCCTTTATCGCTTAGTAATTCACTCAGGTGTCAGTAGAGCTGGCACCAGTCTCCAAAGAGAAGATCACTTGAGACTTGGAGAGCATTCTCAGATAGTCAGCGTCGGAGTGTTTCATGTTGGAGTGCTTGCTCTGAGCCAGGGACTGTGCTGAGAGCTCTGTGGCATCCCTCACGGCGGTGCTGGGAGGCAGGTGCCGCTGTCGTCCCATCTGATAGCCCCGACTAAACTCAGATGACTCACCCAGCCTCCCACAGCTAGTAAATGGCAGGACTGGGGGCTTACGTTCAGGTCTGACTTCCAAACCCAAGGTCATAGCCACACTTTTTGCCTCATGTTTTCAGAGCTTTTTTGGTATTTTTTCTGAAGAAAGGGATGGGGCCCTCCTTCCTCAATTTATATGTCATAGCTCCATATGTACTAAGCATGATCACTGATAAAACCATGGGCTCCAGGCCAGGCAGTCCTTGCCCAGCTCCTTCTCTTGCTCCATCACCAACTCACTTTGGGAAGTGACTGAGCTGTGGGCCATGGTATTCAACAAAATGGAAATCACCATAGCTGTCGTCAGGCGGTGCTTGGATTTTAAGTGGCTGTGTGTGGTGGTAGAAATGAAACTAGTGATACCTCCTGAGAGGGAGGAGTGGGAATGAGCATGTAGGGGCTTTTTGGAGCCACAGAAATGTTCTCTCTTGATTGGAGTGGGGGCCACACTGATGCAGCTATTGACCAAAACTCATCGAACCGTACACTTAAAATACACTTTATTGTATGCAAATTATCTTTAAAAAAGATAGAACAAAACATAGTACGTGAAGTATGCTTTATGCCTTTTTTGTCTGTTTCATGGTGGGCGCCTTACAAAATGCTAGACCATTTCTCAAAAACTTAACTTATTTTTGTGTAAGTTTGGATCTGAAAAGGGCGCTTTAAAAAGTATTACAATTTTGGAGCAAATTTCCTTAACTAACTCCCCACCCAATAAAAACGCCACAACTGTAAGCCTTCTCCCCTCCACTGCCACCAAAACTTCAAAGGTTTTAGAACCTCTTTATTCCCGTAAGCTACTTTTACATCCCATGAACAAAGCGATTTTTAGAGGGAAATGGTTGATGGTAACTGTTAGTGTCTGGTCTGGGACTGCTTTCAAAGGAAAGCTAGAAGGGAAGGGTCACCACCTCCTCATGGCCTCTTTTCTTTTATGTTTGGCACCAGGCCACAGAGACCCCAGGTGAGCTCAGCCTGAGGTTCTGAAAACTTGCCTTCTTGTGGCGTTTTTGCTGGATGAAGCAAAAACTGTTTCTTGAGTAAACACTTGTCTTTCCAGAGGCCGTTCTTTCTGTCTTCCACTCTGCAAGGCTCTGACATGAGTGTCCCAGTGGGTGAGTTCCAGGCCAACCTTTTGGGAGGACTGAGGTTGAAAGGACTGGCCATTGCCTCTGCCCTTGCCAATTGAAGGCAGGTTGCCACCCATTAGTTCCTTATTCCAATGAAAAAATAACATTTGTGTTTTAAAAATCAGAAGTATAATAATACAAGTTCATTGTGGGAGCTCTGTAAAAGATAGAAAGGCATAATGAATTTAAATAGCAATTCTTTTTCAGTATCAGGGTATTTTTAAAAGTTTCACGTCAGTTTCCTTTAGCCGGTACCACCAGGCACATACCTGTCAAAGCTGTTTATTTCCCTGATGCATCGAAGGAGAACTCTGGGGCATGTCGCAGGATTTGGACTTGCCTCGAGTGATTTTAGGGAGGGTTCAGAGAAGGGAGGCTTCGCCCCGCATTGGGTGCTATCAGGAAGCAGGGCTTCCTGTGATCGGGCCCAGGAATTCCTGTTTTGAAGGTGGGAAGAGTGGAGTGGGGCTAAAGTTCTAATTGGTGAAGAGGCAGCAGGAGATTAGCCAGGATAAAGGGATGTTTGGTCATTTTTGTGTTTTGCGCAGTGTTCTTGTTTTGGTTTGTTCAGACAGTTACGGAGTGGTCTTATTTATGTCCTTGATCCATCAACCACTGAGTGGCCTTGTCTGAGGTAATGTGCTGTGGAATTGTTCATGTTCATTGGGAACACCAAGGCCCAGATGTGGTGTCAGGCCAGGTCCTGGCTGTCAGGGGCCACTTTTTCAGTGCTGTGCCCGAGATTCAGTGAAAGATTCAGCCACTCTTGGGCATCTTCTCCAGCTATAGAATTCCACCTATTAATTCAAGAAATGTTTTCTTGGAGTACACATGTGCCAGGTGCCAGTCTCCTTTCCCGCACCTGCTTAAATCTGGACCCTGCATTCATTTCTGTGCTACGTACATGAGAGCTGGCAGTGTTACAACAGAGACTTCTCAGATCCTGCTGTTTTGGGCAGCGCCAGTACGAGAAGTTTCTAATTTTGCAATAACTTGATTCTAAGTGTTTTTATGTCTGTTGTTTAGTCCTTAGAAACACTTTTTTTTTCTTTCTACAGCAGGTATTAGGAGTGATAGTTGGGATCCTGCTCACCTTCATAGACGTTTATTTCATCTGTAATTCAGCTGAAAGGTGGCACTTCTAGCTGTTCGCTGTGCATGTGACAATAAGGAAGAGACTGGGCAGTGCTTCGGGCTGCAACCAGTGTGTTTGTGTATGTGGGTAGTGGGCAGAAGGGAAGTCCTCATAACACAAGAGGCAGTGGCACAGTTGTACCTACAGAGTCAGCAGGTGAGGTCAGTGTGTGAGGCCATCTGAGTGGAGTTTGGGGCAGATTGGGGAATACATGCCCCTTGCCAGGGGGAAGCCAATACCCCAACTCCCACCAGTTGTTGCCCTGCTGCCCAAGTCGGCCTCTGATTTTAAGAGAAGCCCAAAATCGAGATTTTTCTGTGCACTCTCCTGAGTTGTCAATGTTGAGAGTAAGTTTATTTAAAATGCAATATTTACTTGGACTAAGCAAAACACATCTGGAGGCCAGGTTCAGCCCAGTGGCTTTCAGAAGTAAACCAGGCCGGGTGCCGTGACTCTGGTGACCCTGGTGACCCTGTGTCTTCTCCCTGGCAGGAAGAGATGTCAGGAGAAAGTGTGGTGAGCTCAGCGGTGCCAGCGGCTGCTACCCGCACCACTTCCTTCAAGGGCACGAGCCCCAGCTCCAAGTATGTGAAGCTGAACGTGGGTGGCGCTCTCTACTACACCACCATGCAGACGCTGACCAAGCAGGACACCATGCTGAAAGCCATGTTCAGTGGGCGGATGGAAGTGCTCACCGACAGTGAAGGTAAGCCCACCCTCGGCGCTGGGGACATGCTTGTGGGCGAGGGCTTCATTCTAGCTCAGAAGACCACCATGAAATGCGCTGTGTTCACACAGCTACAGGTCACCCGTTGTGCTCAGTGTTTTCATGGTGTGCAGGGAACCTTGTGGATGAGTAACAGGGAGACTGAGTCTAGTCTGGGCTGTATGGTCAAGGAGAGCTTCCCAGAGGAAGTGACATTTAAACTGAGACCTGAAGACAAGTAGTCAACTGAACAGGGACTCAGCAGTTTTGACTTAGTTGTTGATATTTCTGTGTGACTTTGCGAAAGTCACGTTCCCGCTCCAGGCCTCAGCTCTGTTAATGGAGCTGGACCAGCTACGCTAGGTTCCCTTCCTGTTCTCACAGCGATGAGTCTGACTTCAGAGTGAAATTCAAGTTTGAGTCATGAGCATTTTCTCTGGACACTTGTCCTCCTAGGATGGGGTTGTGACAAAGACTCACAGACCTGGAATTGAGTCATGGTTCCCCATTTAGTAGCTGGTGATCCTAGTCAAGGTGGTTGACCTGTTGTCTCATTTTCCCCATCTGGTGAAATGGGCACAGTGATACCCACCTCATGGGGCTGTTAGCTCACATAAGTATTCAATATATGTATATTCAGTAGTTTTTTCTTTTTCTTGTGGAAAGTCATGTTCATAAAATGCAAAGAATTGTTTCAAGTCATCCTAAACTACTCTCTACCCACCTGGAATAGCCAAAGATCACCTGACAAAGGGGAACAGTCCTTACCTGGTTGGGTTTAGAGGGCAGGTCACATGAGGTTTAAAAATGGTCCCATCTGCCCTGGCTGGTTTAGCTCAGCAGTTAGAGTGTTGGCCCGTGGACCAATGAGTCGCCAGTTCGATTCTGGTAAAGGGCATGTACCTCAGTTGCAGTTTGTCTTCTGCCCTGGTCGGGGACATGCAGGAAGCAACCATTCGATGTGTCTCTCTCACATCGATGTTTCTCTCTCTCTCTCCCTCCCTCCCACCCTATCTGAAAATAAATGAAAAAATATCCTCGGGTGAGGATTTAAAAAAAAGAAAAATGTCCCCGTCCTACATTCCTTGGCCTGAGATTGCTTGAGACCTGGCCAGACCACAGCCTGGCTTTATCCATCTTACCTGTTCTGAGGCTGGCTTCTGTGCTGATGCCCCTGCCTTCCCAGGGACAGGGACAGTGGTTCCTGAGAGGGTGCTCGAGTTTTGGCACAAGTAGGATTGGGGGTCCTAAGCCTGGTGTGCACAGTACATTCTGAGATCCTAAGAGGGCCGAAGCGCGGGCTGTCACTAGTTGGGGTGTTTCCCTCTGTGTCCCGGAGAAGGCCAGGCTGCAGTTCCGCTTCTCTGGGCTTCCCGCGAACTCGGCTTTCCAGACTGCCTTCCGTCTCACTCAAAAAAAGAACTGAGCTTTTTATGAGTAGGAGGATCTCCTTTGCTGTGCCACACCCAGCATTGCCCAGAGTATTTGTGGAAATCAAGACAATGACACCCAGCTGCGGGAGGAAACAGACCTTATCTGAGAAGCCAGGATTGTTGGGGCTTTTCTTCCGCCCTACCCAGTCTCTGCAGGGGCTCAGGAAAAGTGCTGACCTGCTTCAAAGGCAAAGAGGAAGCCTCCTCGAAAGCCTTGGTGGCCTGATTGTTGCCCCAGAAGAGACAGAGTCCTTAAGGTCCCTTGTCCCCAAACTGGGAGATGCATGGGAGTGGCACAGGGGACCTGCCGAGGCTTCTAAAGAGGTGCTAGAGGGTACCCTTTCCCCTTGCTTCCTGGAGAACCCGGCGTCTCTGACACTCCAAGCCTCAGCTGCTCTCCTGTCACTAGAGCCCAGCCGTCTGCACATGCTCATGAGAAGCTCACGGTCTGGCATTGTATGGGTGTTACTTCATTTAGGCCTCACCTTAACCCTTTGAGGGGTGGGTTACAGTTTGATAAGTGAGAAATCCACATCTCATGTGTAATGTTTTTTCAAAGGACACTGAATCCAAGGCCTGCTGGATCTTATCATCTGCTCTTTGTGGTTTAATGTGATTCCAACCCCCTGTCCAGGTCGCCTTAGTGTGGCAGCGATAGGGTTCAACTGCTGGCTTAGTGCTGAAGCCCGTTTGGTACCCTGGGAGGGTCTGGGCTGTCAGGCTGTGTCTGGCCTTGCATCCTGCGCTGTGCCGGGCAGAGCATCCTGTTGGTGAGGACACTGCACAGCCTGACCCGTGGCCTAAAAGTTGCCTCAAGAGCACTGTTGGACCCACAAATTGGGGACATTTTCTGAATCTCTCAGCTTCACCCAGGAAGTTTGCCACAAATGGGCTGAAACACCAAGTGCAACTCAACCAGGCAAGTGAGTCCAGCAGCAGAGCCTCGTGGCTACAGGACAAGGGCTCGGGAGGCACAGAAGAGTGTATGTATTCTATTGCCAGACTTCTCTAAAGGATGCCTGAGAAACTGGTTGCTTCTGGGACGGGGACCTAGAGCCAGGGTGCCGGCAGACTCTTTTGTGCTTCGTGCCCTTCTGTTTATTTGAGTTTTGTACGATGTGCCTGTAATTCCGAAACAGAGAAGAACCTGGGCATTAGAGTGGGATGGGCCAGGGTTTGAGTCCTGCCAACAGTCATAGCTAATATGTATGGAGTGATTTCTATGTATTGAGCGTTGTGCTAATTTAGACTTATTTGCTCTTCACTGGTAATGTCACAGTGGGTGAGGGGCTTTTTCGCTGAGCCTGTTTCTTCCTTTTGAAGTCGTGAATGGTAATGCTTTTCAGAGTTGTTATGGGGGTTAAATGAGGAAATTAGACGCACTCGATAGAGTGCCTGGCACATTGGGAGACTCGGCAGTCCTGCGGGGTGGGTTGGGGTGGAGCGTGGAGGTGGGGGCAGAGCGCCGCGAGGAGCTGCGGAGAAGCAGGTCTTAGTAGTGTGTAGGGAAGAAGTGGTCACCTTGGCCTTGAGGAAGGAGTGTGCTGCAGTTCCGTAGTGTCCCCATAGGGGTGGCTTTCCTGAGAGCCGAGGACACTGGCAGTGAGCAGGCCTTTGCCAGACTCCTTCCCAGAAAGGCTGTTTGCTCCGTGCTGGAGTTTTTACCTGACGCTGTCAGTCGCCGCTGGCGGGCGGGTTTATCTGGCACCTTTCTGAGTAACAGGTCTGTGGAACTCTCACCTGCAGTTGCCTGTGGCATCCCTGTTGCTTGGTCTAGTACTTCCCTCCCTGAAATGGTATTGTTTTTGGAAGGAGGGAGTATAGAAACTAGATAAAAAAGAGTTGTTAAGTTTATCAGCTTGGTCCCTGGAAAGCCAATGGGGCAGTCAGGGCAATGTGAGAAAGCTGCAGTACCCAGGGGTTTCCCTGATCCCCAGGCCTTCTGTCTTTTGTAAAATTCTGAAATACATAGAGAGCTTGAGAATTGTGGGTAATACCCACTGCCCCGCGCCCCACTCAGACAAGGAACACGTTACCTGGACTGGTGGGGCCTCCCTTTACCTTCTCTGCTTGCCACTCTCCCTTCCAGAGGTAACCACCGGCCTGACTTTGGGTCTCTCGGTGGATTTCAACCTTGGTGGCACCGAGTCACTTCAGAGCTAAATCCCCATGCCTAGGTACCCCCAGAGAGCCAGATATACTTGGACAGGGTATGTTGGGGCACTAGGACTTTTAAGACCTCTCCAAGGTATTCTTATGTGCAGCCAGGGTTGAGAACCACTGGGGCGAGTTTTTCCATGAAGTTTACTGAGCAGTAGATGTCCCAAAACAATGTGTTGTTGGTGTATTTATTTAAATAACTATTTCAACACTTTTATTTATTTAGATTTTTTAAAAAATACACTTTATATTTAATATAATTTTGTATTGATTTCAGTTGTACAGCATAGTGGTTAGACAACCATGGACTTCACAATTTGGTCCCCCTGTTATTTCAATTTCAAGTACCTACCTGGCACCACACATAGTTATTACAGTATTCTTGACCGTATTCCCTATGCTGCTTTTTACATGCCCTTGACTATTTTGTAACTACCAATCTGTACTTCTCAATCCCTTTACCTTTTTCACCCAGCCTCCCAAACCCTCTCCCCTCTGGCAACAATCAGTCTTTTCTCTGTATCAATGAGTCTGGTTTTATTTTTTGTTTATTTTGTTCTTTAGATTTTACGTATAAGTAAAATCATATGGTGTTTGTCTTTCTGTGTCTGACATTTCACTTAGCATAATACCCTCTAGATCGTCCATCTATGCTGTCACAAATGGTTAGGTTTCTTTTTTAAATGTTTTTACTGATTTTTTAGAGAGGAAGGGAGAGAGAGAAACATTGATGTGAGAAACATCGATCAGCTGCCTCCCTCACGCCCCCTCCTGGGGATCGAGCTCTCACCTGGGCACATGCCCTGACTGGGAATCAAACCAGACCTCTCAGTCCATGGGACGATGCTCAATCCACTGAGGGACATGACCAGGCCAATTTTTTTCTTTTTTGTGGCTGAGTAATATTCCATTGTGTGTATGTACCGCCACTTTTTTATCCACTCATCTATTGGTGGGCACTTGGGTTGCTTCCATATCTTGGCTATTATAAATAATGCTTCAATGAACATAAGGGTGCATATATTTTTTTTCAAATTAGTGTTTTGGGTTTCTTTGGATATATATCCAGAAAGGGAATCGCTTGGTCATAAGGCAGTTTCATTTTTAATTTTTTGAGGCACCTCTATACTGTTTTCACAGTGGCTGCGCCAATCTGCATCCCCACCAACAGTGCATGAGGGTTCCTTTTTCTCCACATCCTCGCCAACATTTGCTGTTTGTTGATTTATTGATGATAGTCATTCTCACAGGTGTGAGGTAATATTTCATTGTAGTTTTAATTTGTATTTCTCTTATAATTAGATAAGCTTTTTGAATGTCCATTGGCCATCTATCTGTATGTTTTCTTTGGGGACGTGTCTATTCAGGTCCTCTGTGCCCTATTTAATTGGATTTGGGGGGTTGGTG